CTTCACACAGCTGAAGAAACAGATTTTGTTTCAGGTCATTAAAACGTTTTGAAACCGTAGAAATGGTGTGAAAGAGCATTTCAGTGGTTTTGAAGTTATAGTTTTAGTTTTTTTTCTGGAGCATGTTGGTGGCCTGAACTGACAAACGATGTTCTTCCTGTTCCTGAAGGTTCAGGCCATCAAGCTCCTGGTACGCTGGTTACTGGGAATGAAGAACAACCAATCCAAATCGGCCAACTCCACCCTCCGCCTGCTGTCGGCCATGTTGGTTAGCGAGGGCGACCTCACGGAGCAGAAGAAGATCAGGTACCCCTGAATTATCTGTTACAGATTCGCTTTACTCGTGTGTGTGTGTGCGTGTGTGTGAGAGAGAGATTGTTTATCCCCTCATTCCTTCCTGTGTTGCAGTAAATCGGACATGTCCCGCCTGAGGCTGGCCGCCGGCTCGGCCATCATGAAGTTGGCTCAAGAGCCGTGTTACCACGAAATCATCACACCTGAGCAGTTTCAGCTCTGTGGCCTTGTCATCAATGTCAGTTTTCACCTGCATGACTTTTATTTAGTTCAATTATTATCCAATTTAAGAGAAAAAAAAACTTTTAAGTTGCCAAGTTCACACCTGGTGTTCATCTGGTTTGTTCCGCCAGGACGAGTGCTACCAGGTCCGTCAGATCTTTGCTCAGAAGTTGCACTTAGCTCTCGTCAAACTGCTGCTGCCCTTGGAGTATCTGGCCGTTTTTGCTCTGTGTGCCAAGGACCCGGTGAAGGAGCGCCGCGCCCACGCCCGACAGTGCCTGCTCAAAAACATCTCCGTCCGCAGGGAATACATCAAACAGAACCCCCTCGCTCAGGGTGAGTGTTCACGCGGAAACATGGCGGCTTCCTGTAGCAGCGTCAGGCGAACTGAAGATCGAAGAATGAAATCCTTTTTCAAAACGGATTGCTTTAAGCAGATGTGATTGTACCACCTCATGTCTAGAAATCACAGTATAGCTTTCTAATAAATTACAAGCATATTCACTCTAATGTAAATGATTCTTTCCCTCGACAGAAAAACTGGTCTCTCTTCTTCCTGAGTACGTGGTTCCATTTATGATCCACTTGTTGGCCCACGACCCTGATTTCACAAAACCACATGAATATGAACAACTCAAAGACATCAAAGAGTGAGGCTGCCCTTCGTATTAAGTACATCTAAAAGTCAGTTGTTGTTTTTAGTCCTCACTGTCTAACTTTTTTCCCTTTGCTAGGTGTCTGTGGTTCATGTTGGAAGTCCTGATGACCAAGAATGAGAACAACAGTCACGCGTTTCTTAGGAAGATGGTTGAGAACATCAAACAAACGAAAGACGCTCAGTGTCCCGAAGATGCAAAGGCCAACGAGGTACGCAGCGCTTTGCAGGAGGATTCACTTCACCTTGTGTCGCTCTGTTACATAAAAATCCTAATGAAATGCATTCACAGTCGTGTCTACATGACACAGTGTAGAAAGCGGCAAACACAGAAAGGATGTCGTTGTGTTTTTGAAGCGAATCGGTGACTGTCGTGTCGCTCTGGTTGCAGAAGCTTTACATCGTGTGCGATGTGGCTCTCTTCGTCATCGCCAACAAGAGCACCGCTTGTCACCTGGACTGTCAGAAAGAGCCTGTCCTTCCCTCAAAGTTCTTCCTCGTACAAGACAAGGCAATAATCCACGCATTCTCACACACATTCAGCAAATGTTGTGGTCGGCTACATTTTTCATTTCACAATTTCCTCACTTTTTCTCACTCAAACTTTCTCAGGCCTTTCTTCCGTTTCTTTGAAGTAAAAATAAAAAAAAGTTGTCTCGGAATTTATCTCCGATTTTTCGACAGTAGAAAAGTTTTACATATGAAACTTGGAAAAACTGAGTGGGTTGATAGACGGATGGGCAATCGGATATATAATACCCAAACCTTTAAAGTGCTTAAAATCAAATTCCTCACTCTACCAGGTTCCTTTAACCTGTGTAGGAACCCTGTATGCAGAAAAAAATATATTTTAAACGGTTTATTTTCTTTAGTTTCATTAGACTTTAAAATCTCTCATTTCAAAAGCAGAAACAAAATGTCCTCCTCTGGGGTCTTATTGAGCTTAACCCGTTCTTTTTCTAACAGCAGGAGTTTAAAAACGACAAGGAGTATCTGACAGGAGAGATGAGACAAATGCTGCTAACTGGAAAGGTAAATTCTCAACATGAGTAGTTATTACTGTTGCAGTACAATTAAAAACATAGAGACTGGTCTGTTTGCAGTAAGTTTGAAAATAACCACATGAATTAAAACCTGATCCAGTTATTTACATATATATATTTACTTATTTAGCCCAAACCGGCTCCAGTTTTGGCGACTGTCAACAAAACTCTGACTGTTCCGGGTCGGAGGATCATCCAGAAGACCACTACGGCTCCAGACACGACCAGTAACACCAGCACCAACTCGTCTCCACTGGTCACAGCTAACAACAAAAACAGGTACACACACACACACACACACAGAGAGAGCAGCTGTTTGCTCACACTCCAAAGACAAAGAGTAACAGTGTTGCATCTGCTTGGTTTTACCACAACAACAGCACCGACTCCTCAGAAAGTCGAGCGCAGGAGAACAACGAGAACCCGGTCATCAAGAAAGATGAGACGAAGAAGGTAAACTCACACAGGAACCTCCTCTCACCTCTCCACCGGCAGCCATGTTCCCTTTCAACTTCATCCTCGGTGCGTTTCAGGACGAGCCGAGTCAGAAGCTGGTGGCCGACGCTGGGATAGAGGCGTCGCCCGTGAGACGGCGCGGCCGTCCTACCAAAGCCGCAGCAGCCGCTGCCGCAGCAGCGCTGAAGGAAGCCGGAGCGCTACCAGCAGGAGGCGGAGGAGGCAAAGGCAGGAAGAGAGCGTCCGACACCACCACAGACTCCATCAACGTCAAAATGTCAAAGCAGTCACAGCAGCAGAGTGACGAGGGGACAAAGAGACAGATCGACTTGCAGAGGTAAGAGAAGAACTCGCCTTCTTTTCCTGCGTCTAAAGGAAAACAAAAACGCACCCCATTCATTTTCTGCTACAATAACACCTCCTGTAGTTGGTCTTTTCTGATTGATTCTCTGTAGTATTTCAAAATGGACGAAGAAGTTTTCATTTTTGAGTATGAAAAATGAAATGCATCCAGAGAAATATAACCCACAATGTCGTCAGTGGATGAGAAGCCAGTTATGATACTGGCTACTCTGGTGAGAGAGTTAGTTTTCGTAAATGTATGAAGCGGGAATGCTAAGCTAATGTCTTGAAGTTAACAGATTTACATTGGGAAAATATCAAAGTATAATAAATTTTAGTGTAGCTTGCTGTTCATATACAGCATGTTTTCCATGAAGACTATGCCACCTGCTGGCATAAATTTAAATCTGCATTTGGAGAAAATTCAGACAATAATATGTTAAACACGCCAAAGATCCACCATGCTTGCTTTTATTTCCTTTTTTGCAAAATGGAGAAAGTTGACCAAACAATTTGAAGACTGTAGAGCGACCACAAACATCAGACTGAAGTGGTGAGCTGTGTGAAACCACGTCCAGCTTCATTTATGGAGTTAAGCAGGTTCGTTTTAGGAACTCCAGTTGCTGTAAACGGATCCATAAAGATTAGCTTTCCTTTTGGTACAGAGGTGGAGTTGCAGTTTTCACTTTGCTACAGCTGCGTAAACTTTTACTCTGTTTAGATTTTGTTTTGATATTTAGGAATAATACATTTATTTGCCTTACTTTCCAAAATAGAACTTTGATGTTGTGGCCTTTAGGAGAATCAAGCATCTAGTTTTCCACAAGAGTTTATAAGTCACTAACTGGGGAAAAAAAAGAAAAGGGATGAACAACAGGTGGGATAATAAGGACTTAATGCAGCATCAGCTGATCTGTTGTTATATTTTAGATCCAAAGAAATCTGCTCAATCCTCGCAGTCTCACAAATTTACAAAGTCTCTCTTATTTCTCATTGTGCACCAAAACATTTATTAAAAATGAGTTATTAAAAGGCCTTTTATTTAATTCTGCAATTACACAATTTCCAGTTAATATCAGCTTTTTTCTCCCACCAATAACTTTATGGAGCATTTAAGATATTTATGTTAAGGATTAGTCAGGTGACTGCAAAACTATAGCTAGGTCTGTCGTAATAATCAATAAATCAATTAATCGCATGATAAATTAAAACAAACTCAATAATTTTCATTTGCATGATTTGTTTTTCTCTCATTCTACCAAAACCTGATTGATAAGTTTTCTATCTGGTGTTTTGGTTTCAACTAACCCTTTTTTTTTTTTTTTTGTTTTTTTTTAGGACAATTTCATAATTCATTTTATTTGTTGTTTCTATTTTATTTATTTTGGTTATTTGAAATGTCTTCCAGTTTCAGTGCTAAATGTTTAACACTAAGTTTAAAGTTTATTGATCTTTGAGAATGTTTTCTGCCATTACAATATTACTCGAAAATGGTCTCAAAATAACAATAGTATCGTTTATCGCAATAATTTCTGGGGTAGTTTATCGTGTATCAAAATTTGTTAACGTGACAGGCCAAACTAACTGTAAAAATCAAATGATTGTTCTGCAGTTATTGCTGGATCCCCAATTTATTGCTTTAAATGCACAAGCCAGCATTAAAAAAAACAAAAAAAAAACTTGAATAGAAAACATGTTCTGATGCAGAGATCTGCTGTTTTTTCAGGTAAAGAGGCGAAGATGAAATCCAGACTGTAGAGGACGGGCCTGAATCGTCACACCTTCAACTCTACACACAAGCTCCTTTGACTCTTACAGCTTTCTTGGAGATATTATGGACCTTCGACATAAACACAATATACAAGCACGCACACACACACACACACATACACACACACACACACCCCATCATACTAGGAGATTTTAAACACCCTGTAGTCAATGATTTGAAGCTCTGTATGTAGGTCTTACTCAGAAACATTTCCCCCCCCCCTTTGTTTGTTGCTCTCCAGTTCTTTTTTGGAGCCATTTTTAAGAAGAAAAAAATAAAACCAACCGGGATGGACATTTTACAAGCGTTTTAATCTGGTAATGATTCTTGCTTATTAAATTTCCTGGGAAAACAAACAAAAAAAAAAAACATCTTCTGCTGTTTGAGTCTTGATGTCTTCCTCCTTTGTGTCTGGACTGCAGGGTTTCTTTCCAGCTCACCAGTTGAGTTTGTAAATACACACAAAAGTAAAAGAAAAAAAAAAAAAGAACTTTGTAAATGTGAGTTACTTTGCAGGAATTTAAGGTGACATTGAATGCATTGGACAGATTTTATAAACTGTTTAGGTGATAGGCATCAGAAGGGCAGATTAAAAAGTTGTAGTTGCTTTTTGACGGCCTTCCTGTGGGGCAAGTTCGGTTTGCTGCCACAGCACTTCAGTTCATCAGGGATTTTGGTCTTTTTTTAAAATCAACACAAAAGAAAAATCCACTTTTTGAATGCATAAATCAATATTAGACACATTTGGAGTTTTTTTTTTTTTCTTTAGTGTTTTCCTAACAAATTAAATTTTTTTGAACTCTTACGTTGGGCAATTCCTATTTTTAAACATCAAGTGAACGGGAACCTTTTGTGTTGACTTATTTTGGATGTAGTTTTAAAAAAATGCATTTCATTATATTTAACCTTTTTTTCACAAAAAATAAATGCTTTTAGATGTTTGGGTGCAGTAGAGTTTGTCTTGGATCCCTGTTTTCAAGGTGCAATTTCAAAAACACAGGCAAACATTTTCTTTTTTTTTTTCCCCACTTTTCTTTTTTTAATCAATAAAAACATGACACTGTCACAATAAATAACCATGCTTTTTTTATACTGCTAATGCTTGCTTCCAATAAAAAACAAAACAAAACAAGTCTATTTAAATGGAGAAACTGAGATGCAACAGCCCCCCCTTCTTTTTAACGCTTCGTCGTCGTGCAACATTGTACATGGTGAGAACAGCAGGAAGACGCGGTGGATGTAGGAGGCGACCGCTTGTCTCGTCTCTGCCCCTTTCTGACAGAAACGTAGATCCAGCAGACTCTGGTGCACTTCACAAGTCCGTCTATTTACAGGTAAAGCAGACTGCACCTTCTGCCTGCCTCTGAACTTGTCTCACCGTCAGCAGCAGAGAGTTTTGCACAATAACTCAAATTTTAATTCGCTGCTCCTCTGGAGGTCAATTGAAAAGAAACCTTTAAATAAGTGGCCCTGATAAAACCCAAACACTTTTCGGTGTCCCTAAAAAGAACAAAGAGTTCCACATTTATAAAATAAAAGGAATTGTTTTGTTGTTGTACAGTAAAGCACGTTTGGGACATAACATATTTAGCTCTGCTGTTCACACCACTTTTAATATTTTTCAGATTTTAAACACTTCTGAAATGGACGGGAAACAATTGTTTTTAATCTTTGTGCAGACAAATCTTTCAAGCTATTCCATACTTTTAAGCACCTGCCTAGAGGCACATCTCTGGAGGAGCTGCAGCTCAGGTGGAAGAATTTATTCATAGGACAACTATTAAGTTGCTGTAGTTAAACCCTACAGAGAAAACGGCAGATATGCCAACACTGCGCCTCACCCGGAGGAAAACGGTAAAATATGGGGCCGATTCTTTAGACTAGAAGATGGATGGAGCTCAGTGCAGGACAGCCCTGTGAAAGACTTGACTGAAAAGGACGACAGACCTAAACGCACAGTCCAGATCTAAATTAAATTAAAATCTGTGGAAAAACTTCAAATTACTTTCAGACTCTACAAGCAAGACTTCTGCAAAGCGTAAAGGAGGGAGTAAATGCTACAGCCGGGTTGCTCAAGTATCCGAGAGCTACTACTGTGCAATTTCTCCGTCTCCTTCCTTCTCACTGCTGTAGCTGTAAGTTTTGGTTCTCCAAAGTACTGACTGCGACTGAACAGAATGCAAAACCCAAACTTATCTGATTAAAACAAGTTTTCCTTCCACTTCAGTCGTGCTCTACTTGTTTGTTAAATAAAACGCATTGAAATTTGTTGTTTTAAATGACAAATTTGATATTAATACTTTTTTGTTGTTGTTGCAAGGCAGTGTACATGTGGTCAACATTAGGGTTGAGTGGCTCAGAAATAAAATAACATCCCCTCAAAAATCAACTATACAATACATTTTTAACCTGGTTGCAACAGGCGATCACTGCAGCTTTACAAACCTAAATCAACCTCAACATTCATACCCAACGGTCGCTCGCCTGCTCTGGGAAAAACAAAAAAACGGTTCAAAGAGCAGGAACAAAAAAGCTCAAATTGGCTGTACTTTGTGGTTTTTGTGACTTTTTTGTTTTTTTAGAGGAAATGTTCAAATGAACAAACTCCCACTAAACAATTTGGCCAACTGTAGTTAAAGGCAAAAACAACATGCAAGAATAAAAGACACTAGAAAATGTTTGATTGTGGCATAGCAGAGGATCTGGCGTGTTATGTCTTGCACAGATCGGGATTTTGGAGGGTACAACCTCTTAAGAAAAAAAAAAAAGACATTTTGTGGGACTTCTCATGGATTATAAATGCATGAAAAGTTCAACTGGAAAGTAGGCATAGTTTGTATTTAGAATAACTAGTTTTACAATGTAAGAAAAAAAAAAAGAATATCCCCAATATAGATTTAAATTTACACACATTATTTACAGCTAACTCTTGTTTCTTGTGCATGTGTGCAAATGGTGGAGGATATGGATGTGCTGGGCTTTTCCTGGTTGAATGTACAAAATGCATCGACCAAACTCCTGCAGCGGGTCGGAACATCAAACAGGTCAGGAAAAACCCGGCACACCGCCCAATGCTCAGCACTATCCAAGTCAAGTATTTTATATCCAGCTTTTACAGCATTGAGAGTCTGTAGGAGAGAATATGATGCAAAGTCCAACTCCCTACTAAATAAACGTGGTTAGGTAGAAAACAGCGTGTGGCTCCCCTCGTGTTTTACCCTGCAGAAATTCGACAGACAACTGTTTGAGCAAAATAACAGTGCAAATGTTGACAACGGGCAAAGTAAATGTTTCTTTTGGGGGAGAAATGGAAACAAAATGAGGGGCTGAGTTTGTTGGGGCTTATAAACACATTTAAGAGGAAATAAAAGGGAAATCCTTGGTGTGATGGACAGGCAACAGAGCGGTGAACATAGTGGCAACTGTGGTGCTACTGGTGTTTGTAGCAAACCTCTAATGTGCGGTGCTGAATGTGATGGGGTTTGTGTCTGCTTAGCAAAATGTGACGTTGGCATGGCGCCCAGAGGAGCTGAGGTGCTCTGATGACGGGAGTTTTTATTTCTGTTATTATTTTTTGGATCCTCACACCTGGATGGGTCCTAGTTGCTGAGGAGAAGTTCTGTCGCCGTTTCCACGTCCCAGGATTTTGAAGACAAGGCCGCTATTACTGCATTCTGAAAATATGAGAGAGAGAGCGCAAAGGTGAAGATGCAAGTCTGTGTGCTCCAGATATAAAATTTAACTACTGTAATACTTTTATGCATATTGTTATATTGTTTTCAATTGACAAAAGTTTCTTGCTCCTTGTTTCAGCACTAGTTAATTCACTTCAGCTAATACACCAATTTTTTAAGACCCAACAAAACAAGGTATGCCTGTAAACTGCATGCAAGTTACATGTACTAAAAGATCAGGATTTTTCAAAAACAAATTTGCTTTTGCCTAAAATCGTGTCATGTGAGGATATGTTCAAACGCGGTGCTCAGACCCAGAGAGGCGTCTCTAACCTTATCGAAGCCCATGGCACAGAGTTTGTCTATTTTTCGCGTGTAGTCCGGACTGGAGACCGGAGCGCCGGCGTAGACGTGTGACCACAGCCTTGCTGTCTGTTTGAACATTTCTGGGTTCTGCTTGTACTAAGAATTCAAGACAGAAAATTCAGAAATCAATTTTAAAAAAAGATCCAGCTTTTCAGTTTTGTAAAAAGTTGTACTCCAAGTAAATAAAGCTAAACTAAAGAGCAGCTTGATTTTTGCCAAAAGAAAATAGAAAGTAATTCTCACCTGGTTTGCAACGACTGCATCTTGTGGATCATCTGGTTCTGCTGCAGCAAGAAGAGCCTGTAGGGACAGCAGCACGGTCCGCAGGGTCATAGCAGCTGCCCTGAGTGAGACAGACTCAACACGTGAGCGCGAGTTGATTTCTGAACGTCACAGATCACAGCGTTTAGCTCTACGCGCTCACCACTGGTCTTTTAAAATGTCCAGACATATTGCTCCGGTCACTGAGCTGATGTTAGGATGCCAGATCTTTGTGATGAAGCGCACCTGAAGAACGGCGGGTCAAGGAAGACTGATGAGTCAATATAAATGGTGACAGTGTATCTAGTTTCATTTTTTTTTTAATAAGTTGTAAAATAAGACAATATTATTTTTGATTCATATAGCTTTCTTAATAGCTGTATAAATATATTAAAAAAATTGAGATAAGCTTCGTCTTATTCAAATTTTCTCTATCAAGCAAAGAAACATGGAAATCTACAAACATCCAAGATCTGCTGTGTATCAACACAACCCGTCTCTCACGGCAACGGGTCGTGCAGAAGACATCTGCGTCCGTACAAATTACTTTGTCCAGCCCAAGATCACAACAGAAGAGTAATTAAAAGCTTTTTAAAATTAAAATTGTTGATTTTACTTCCTATGCTTTCTCTCGATTTCAAAGTAATCAGAGCCACACATCCAACAACTTTCATCTCAAAAGCAGATTTGGCCAGACCCAGTAACTAAACTAGGCTACAAAAGTAAGGACATATTCCATTCTTGCTGATGAGAACAGACACAAAAAAAGAAACCAAATCATGAAATTTAGGAAACTACATGCCTTTCTATTAATAAGGCAGACCTTATGTTTTATTTTAACAACATCAATTCAAAAGGCGAGGACCATAACAGCAACACACTTAGAATAAACATTTATGACTGTTTTTCTCCTTTTTAACTGTTAAAAATGTAAATCATTTGTCATAGCTTTAGCCATCCTGAAGGACTTTTTGCCCCAAAATAAGAAAAAGTTGTCAATAACTGATTAAACTTTGTCATAAACAAAGACTGATAATAATACCAATGTATGCCAGTTACAGTTTCAACACTACAAAGTTCTTCCATCGTCACGTTCCTGTAGTTTTAGGTCGTTTTAATGAGATGACAGAGAAAGTGCCGGAGCGACCAGAAATCTCTCCTGCTGTGTGACACAGAAAGGATGGCAACACTGACCCCATCTGTAGCTGAGCACTAGCTAACCCTGAAACAGGACTACTACTCTGTTTAACTTAAAAAAAAATTTCTACTTTTATTTCATCATCAAACAGGATAACAGCACCAACCACCCCTACGAAGGCAACACGATTTTAATACTACAGCTGACAAGTCGCAAGCAGCGTTGACGTTAAACCAAGCAGGCAGTCCGACTAATTAACCGGCTAGATTTTAAAGAACAGAGCAGCTGAGAGGAATAATATTCTGCTCTAGACGATTTTACAGATTTTGTTTTGAAATGCTGAGTTTATGTTATGATACAGCAGCACTTGTATTCAAGATAGTCAGACTATTAGAATGTCGTGACAGTCCATACCTTGCTAGAATAGCTATGAAAGGTATTTAAATACTTGCTGGTGATGCCCAGCAAGTATTTAAAATTTAAAACTTGTTGAACAGGATAGCCACCATGAAGCAAGAAAAAAAAAAAAAAAACCTCTTGGATCTTAAATCCCTAAAAGACAACTAGTTCAGCTTTTCCCTTGCGATATTTAAAAGTCAACTCAACAGGCAGTAAAGGCCTTACAGTTTGTTCAAATCAGAACATTCAGCTACTCACCTTTGGGGGGTTAAATGGATAGGTTTCTGGGATTTTTATTTCAAGCTGATATCTGCCACCTTAAAAGAGAAAATAAACAAGAGAAACACCATTTTCAATCAGGACATATTGAGCCAAGTGTGTTTTCTTTACAGAAAAAAAAAATCTGTTTTTCAGGTGTGTACCTTCATAAGGTGTATCTGGTGGTCCTGCTATTTCACCTCTCAGTTCTGTGAAGTTCTCGTCTACCAGATCAACTTTGATCTGGTTTTTACTTGTCTAGATATTGGGAGAGATAACAGAAAGGGAATGTTTTAAGGGAAATAACAGATATTTTGACACAAACACTATGTCCAAAAAGTGAGGCCTCTGACAAACCTGACTCAGGTGATTTTTAGAAAAATTTAAAGTAAGCTTCCTACTTCTAAAGGATGTCTTGGTTAAACGTATCGTTTGCTTGTGGAACAAAGCAACTTAAAGTTAAAACAGAGGAAACAAAAACTTTGCTGGAAGGGAAATACACAACATTCACCCCACAAGCCTCCCACAGTGACCACAACCAGCTGATTACAAAGCTGGTAAGGGGCTGAAAGCACAACATGAGATGCTAATGCTAACTGTAGATGGGGCATCAAAACATCGCTGCCTTCAAGTAGCTCAAAGCAGCTAAACTGAGATGACACCGGTTTATTTGTCGAGTCGTGGTAATCCATTGGACACAGGTTACAGTTGGTGTAAAACCGCTTTAATTAATTTTGAGCAATGTTTACGGGCACAGCTGATAACAGCAGGCCCGTCGTTCGGCGAATCCCCGGTGTTTCCTGAACACACCCACCTGACACGCGCCTGGCATTTTTTGAAGCTAACGCTAGCTTAAGTTCTGATGTTCGGGCCTGACCTGACGCAACACAGAACCAACACCTCGTCGGGTGATTCCCCGTCTTCCACAAACACCGTACAGTCACTTCACATGTCAACGGAGTCGAAATAAAAAGCAAAGAAGGAGCTGTGAGGAAGTGAAAGCAGTCGGCGATGTAAACAAACCTCCTCGCTTTTGAGAACTTCTTTGAACTCTCTCTTGATCCTTTGGACCGCGATGTTAGCCATGGCTGTCTGTCTGCTGAGCCGCCTCAGAGCTGCACCCGGGGCTTCTCCCGGTGTTGTCTGTGTGGGGGTCGCCTTGCCTTCTGCTAGTCACGCTTAAGGAACTCCTTCACTTGTACCATTTAGCACTTCATTTCAGCTCAGACAGAGAGAGCTCACCGTTGCCGTCGCCTGCCAACGCAGAGTCAGCGTCAGTCAGTCATTGAGTCCAGAACATGCTCACACAGAGCAGCTGCAGCGTGGAGCACAAGCTAGAAGTTTCATTAATGAGCCTCGGTGACACGCAGACAACACGATCTCCTTTCAAACTGGCAATCAGGACATTTCTCTCTCCAGCGCTGGGAGAAGGCAGACCTTTATGTGTGTCTGTACATATATTCTTTTTTCTTAACTAACGTTCAAAGTGATTGTTTTTGATTACACCTATTAATTTTAAGATAATAAGAAGGCCTAACTGCTTACATTAAAAAAACGATGTATTTCCCAGTTGTTCTAAACATGCCACATATCAAACATAACTTAAATGAATTTTTAATTTATAATTTAACGCTTTGAAATTGGGGTTCTGCCTCTTTAAGAAACTCCTGCTCCATATATATATATATATATATATATATATATATATATATATATCACCCCTTGAATAGTACCACCCCTTGAATAGTGCTCATCTGGCACTTCTATTTGCAGTTTTGGCCAAAAATGGAAAAAAGAGGCCACTCAGAGAAGAAGAAGCCATTTCTCCAAAAGCAACATGAAACACCAGACAGTTTGCAAATGGAAGTCTAAGAACATTATCAACACTGTGAAGGCAGCGTCATGTTCTATTATTTTGCAACAAGAGAGAACAGCCTGAAAAGTTTGGTGACAAATTGCTCTTTAATTTGGACCTTGACTAAACTGCCACATGTATCAAGACTGTGGAGTGTCAAAACTTGACTTATTGCGGGGTTTACATCTCTACTGCTATTTGCACTTTTTCTCTTTTTAAATAACATTCCTGCTGTTATTTGCACATTTACTACTGTTTGCTGTTTTATTTTTTCTTGTAAATCGTTTGTTATTTTTTAAATGCAGAATACACATGCATATTTTTAAAAATTACTCAGTTGCACATGTCTGGGTCAGACAATGCTATTTTTAATAAAGGCACAGTACTTTATATTTTAAATTTGCCTTTAGTACACTGTATGGTATTCTTAATTATGTTTTTATATTGTAATTGTTGTGCAAAATCTCCATGTTTAAATTGCCTGACACTTTGCTGTCAGATAATAGTAAATATTTCTATTCTATTCTGTCCATTGCAAGTCATTTACACTCAGTTGCACACAAAATTTGAGGAGGGTTTTTAACAATTGTCTCATGTGTTCCCAAAAGAGTACTTTGCTCACAGACAGCAGAGGTTTAAATGGAGTGTTTCCTTTCTGCTGTTTCCTCGTGCTTGCTCTCAATGACACACTATTAGTATTTTTAACTGGAATTTTCCAAACTGAAGACACCTAATGTCCTTAACAGGCATTAGAAGACCTGTGAATAATATTCAAAGCCAGAGATACTTCAGAGGAATCCTTTAAAAATATTGTTGCATCGTCAGCCAGCTGACTAAAAAGAATATCTGTATTTGCAGCCTGTATACCTTTTATTTGACTATTTTTAGATGAGCAGCTAAGTTTAACTCTGATAGTTCTGATATGATCACTTCTAAAACTTCATTTTGACATCAGTGCAACCTTTCATAAGTCGTTTCGGCCTGTTTACTTGATACCTGTAATATGGATGGATCCATGTAGAGATCGCCAGACTGTAGATTAAAAGACAAAAGGGAAACTAAGGCCAGATTTTTACATACAAATTTGTCAATAATATCTTTGCAGTCGATAAAGGGATCATGGTATTGTAAGGAAAGTGCTAGGTTAGCAACTTAAGATTGAGGTGTGACTAACTGTACCAACATTTTAAATGTAACTTTTTTCTTAGGAGTGCTCTGGAACACCTGGAGATGATGGAAATGTGTTTATGAAATAAGCATTCTTCATAAACACAAGAAAATTATAGACAACCCTGAGCATTCTCCTCATAGAACTGTCTTAAAACAACTGTCTTTAGTCAGAGGCTTCATTGAATAGATAGTAAGACAGCAACAGGAGGTTCATCAGCATCTACAATACGTGTATAGATAGATAGAAAGATAGACAGACAGACAGACAGACAGACAGATCTGGACTGTTTGTTTACGGTCGAGGCTGGATGATTTCGATTGGCTTAGAGACCTACCCGTCAAATATTTGGACCAATGGCTGAGGCGCGTTTCACCACGTGCACGTATGGTCGGAAGGTTCTGAGCTTTAAAGTAAACACGGAGAAATGGTTGACATGACGGCGGTGGTTTGACGGTGAATATCGGCATCAGCGGCGCTGCAGCAGAGCAGCATAGGCCCGATAAACGCATTCAGTCGTTCCTGACAACTTCTAAGCTCAGGTAAGACGTTTTTCCTTCTTTGGTTTTGTTCACTTGTATCTCTAATCGAGAGTATTCAATAGTAAAAAGAAAGGAAAATAGAACAAGACAGGGTGTTTTCTCCTCCTCATCTGGCTAGACTCGGAAGAAGCTAGTTTGCTAAATGTTTTCCGAGAGCACGGACGGTGAAACAGAAAGATTTTGAGTAGAAAGTGGAAGCTGTGGTTTGAAAAGCTCTGGTTTTAGTTGTGCTAAGATGAAGTGATTAGTTGTTCTGCTTCTACGTTGCTCTAAGCGGAGTTAGCCACCTGCGGAACTGCGCTGTTTAAATGGTAGGAGCTAAAACTTACAAGGAAATAGAGGTTTTAGAGCAACTATCTTATTCCAAGGCCGGTTTTGAATTTCCAGACAGAGTTTGGCCAACTCTCCATACAGTAACATCTGTGTCCAAAGATTGCATTGGAAAAGCAACCGCAGGTTTATTTATTTTATTTGCTAATCATGTTTCTTTTTAAATCCCGCTTAAGGTTTATGTCACTACATGCATATGATCGAGACATGGAAATCTCAGCTATAGCACAGAGTTTTACAAAAGTTTTCATTACCTCTTAAACTTACATCTGAAAAGTGCGGCCTGCTTTTATATTCATCCCTCTTTGCCTCCAACACCACTGTAGTAGTTTAGTTTGTAAACTGAGTCCACCTGTGATTTAATCTCGGTAAAACTACAGCTGTTCTGAACAGTCATCAGAGGTTTGTTTGTTAGGGAACATTAGTGAACAAATGCAGCAAGAAAGCCGTAAGATGTCACATTTTCATTTGTACTTTACACAGAAAACGTGTGGAAGAAGGCACTGGAAGTTTTTGGTCAACAAGCCCAACGCACAATGTTAAAAAAAAAAAAAAAAAAAGCTCATTGCACATCACCCAAAACACTTCATGGCTAGGTTGGAACATGGTGGTGGCAGCATTATGCTGTGGGGATGTTTTTCTTTAGCAGGATCAGGGAAGTAGGTCAGAGTTGTTGAGAATTAAACTAAATGCAAGTAATCTTGAAAGAGAACAAGTTAAAGGTTGTAAAATACTTCAGATGGGGTTCAACTTCTATCAGGACAACGACTCTAAACATGCAGCCAGATAAAAGCGTGTTCAGAATGTCGGAGTCAAAGTGTAGACCTGAAAGCTTTTGAGAATCTGTGGTAAGACTCCAGAAAAACTGACTGAGGTTGAAATTTCAGTTTGTAGATGTGCAGAGCTAACAGAGCCATTTCCCAAAAGATTTCAGGCTATAATAGCATCGTGGGGGCATTAATATGGACTCTGCATGAAAGAATGCAAATTCACACCACACTGTTCAGATTTCTTTTTTTTTTTTTTTAAGACATGCTGAGAAATGAGATATTTGCTACCTGCTGCTCGTTGTTATCTCGTCTCCCTAGGTCCGTTAATGTTGTGTGTAAAAGTGAAACCACAAAGACAACAGTCACTGTTCAACTTCACAATCATCCAGAATTTATTCAAACAATCAAATACATAAAATCACATCAACAGCTTGTCATAATCATCAGAAACCAAAACCACAAAGAAGAAGAAATTAATTACCTTAGAAAAATACAAAGATGCTCCTCCGGAGACCACTCCGTGTGGCAGTTACGACAGTTCCACCCCAGTGATCTGATTAGCTGTTTTAGGTCAATTACTTTTATATCAAGGCGTGTTTTTACTCTCTGATGCGTTCTAACGTAGCGTTTAAAGGTTGTCTCTGCCTACCTACAAATGCAGGTGTTTACCAAGGCCAAGGGATGAATTCATTGTTGTCTATGCTGTCCTCCCTGCGTACTTTCCCAGGGTATGAACAAAGATGTGTTCATTTTCATACAGAAACATTTTACTCAAGAAAGTGGGACCAAAGTTTGTCGCACAGAGCTCTCCTGACCTCTCCTCTGACCCAGTGCATCAAACAGCAGATTTTGATGATAAAAATTTGCACATGTTCCATATAATATCTTTAAACTCTTATAAAACAGACATGAGCAGCTTCAATACCAAAACATCTGTTACACTCAATATTTTCTGATTAGTTTTCAAACTTCTTTGGTAATAATGAACTAAAACATTTTCAGATGAATATATGATTTATAGACTCTTAAGAGTGTGATCTACTATAAAAATCTATTGATTAGACTAATTTTAATCAAATCGGGATCATTATATCTAAGAAAAATATTCTACTGATTAAGTTATATATTGATTAAACTATGAGTCTAATTCTAACCTAAACTGAGGCCTACTCAAAACAATCATGGTCTGTCTAATATTTCAACATGCGCTAAAATTAAAACTAGCATAATTAAACTAATATTTCCAACAGACACCATGGATCATTTTCCTTCCACTGTACTTTTTGTTGGTTTTCACATAAAATCTCAATAAGAAAAGTTTCAGTCTATGTTTATAATTGCATAGATTTAAGCATGAATGCTTTAGAAAGGTATTATGCCATTGAAACTAAATGACTCAGTTGGTAATTTCAGCGCTGGATTGTAAAAACACTTCCATCTGGTCTTACTCTTTAGAACATCACCTAAAATTTCACAAATGATCATCCAAAAACCATTTTACATCCCTCAAATGCCACTAGCATTTAAGATAAAAGATCATAGGCAACAGAAAAGTGCAGATAAAATCTCCCATCTGGCTTGAGTATAACACAAAACGACACACACCGCTGCTGACTCTCCTTAGCAGAAGAGTCTCCTCCCCCTTCTCTTGTCTGTGTGTGTCCATCGAGCAACAAAACAGCACTGACAAGAGGCAGCATTGGATTTCTGCCACTTGTTCATGTATGCCCTACTTACCTGAAGTGCCTCTGCTTCAAGGTGGATTCTTGCTGGTGAGAAATGGCTGAAGGAGGCTTCGACCCGTGTGAGTGCATCTGCTCTCAGGAGTACGCTATGAGGCGCCTCATCAACCTGGTAAGCAGGGCAACTGACAGGATTTCTCTCTGATTTATACATTGTGGCAGGTTGATCTGTAGGGCTGAGGCAGATTGACAGTCAAACCTGCTGTTGGTACATGTTATCCGGTGAAAATGTCATAAAGTGTGTGAGTTTCTACAGCTGGTTCGTAAGTGAAAGTATTCCCAGAGGGAGTAATCCGCATACAAGGCGTCACTGAGTGACCGGAATGACACATCCTGGTTCCTGTTGTGTGTTTGTCTTTCGCTCTCCAGTGACGTCTGTAAAGTCAAATTGATTTCATGTTTTGTTAATTGTTAATTAGTGAAGGATGCATTGTCAAAGATGAGATTGGCATTTGTAATAAAAGCTATGCATCTAGTCATGGTTTCAGTTTCCATGTGACCTTATTTTGTTTTTGTGCCCAGCTGTAACTTGCATGGCAGGTTGCAGTTGGCTGAGAACTGAAAGCCACTCTCAGCTTTCTGATTTGCTTACCACAATAAGGGGCGTTGCCTTAATGACGAAAATATCTCAACTAGCGTTTACTAGTCAGGCCTTGGAGGAATCATGAGTCGCTATTTTGTATAACAGAAACTTTTGTAACACTGTGTAGCATAAAGTTATATTTCGAGTTTATAAAATGTTTCCTCTGCATTTTCAGCTCAGGCAATCCCAGTCGTACTGTACTGACATCGAGTGTCCTCAGGAGTGTACGTATCCCCTCCGCCCACAGCGCTGTGTGTCAGAGTGTAAGGCACTACAGCGGAGACATGGCCGTTGACGCTTGCTGTTCTGTTTCTGCACAGTGCCCGGACCCAGCGGGTCAGTGGGTGGAGGAGGGGACCTGACCCTGCCCATGGTCCTGATGGGGTGGGTGGTGGTGGCTCTGGTCCTGTTTTTGCTGCGCCCTTCCAGCCTCAGAGGAGCCCGTCCTTCTGGCAAGCCCTCTGGACCTCACAATGTTAGTATTGATCAGTTTCAACGTTTTGAGTTTTCACATTTCCACAGTGTGAGATGCATAAGTGTCTTTTCCACATTTTGTCACTTTACAACTTTACAAGTACAATGTGTTTTATTAGGATTGTATGCAATAGACCAACGCAAATTACTGCGTAAAGTGGAAGGAAAATGATACTTGGTCTTCAAGTTATTGATTTCTGTTCATGAACTCTGAATCAATTTTATTTAAAAAAAAAAATAGTTCAAACTCAGTCAGATTGGATGGAGTGTATCTGTGAGCAGATACTCAACTGAGTTTGGTTTTGAACTTTGACTGGGCCGTTCTAGCACTGTCATACGGCCAATCAATGAGGATGTGGCGCCTCCTGCTGGCTGCTATGTATATGGAGAGTTTTTTAGTTAAATCCTTTATGCAGAACTGCACTACAATTTATTTATTGTAGCTTTCAGTTTCTATTGCTGATGGTAGCCTGATTACTGAGCCTAATAACAGCCAGACTTTTAAATGTATGGAATCGATTAAAGCACAATAGTAAACTTTTGAAATGATTAAATGTTTCATTTAAGGTCAAAATTGAAATAAAAGCTTCTAGTTTGGTTTCAGATATTTGCATATCAGACTCCAGAGAAGTCAGTGACTTTTGAGAACCATGACTAAACCTTTCCATTCTAGTTCTGGATTTTTATCTGGGGTTGTTGTCATGCTGGAAGATGAAGCGTCACCTCAGTCTCAAATCTTTTGCTGCTCTTAACAGGTTTTCTTTCAGGATTGCCTTTTATTTGGCTCTGTCCATTATAAAGGAGGCTCAGTAGTTGCATTCCACATTATTAATACCTTATTTGTAAAACATATGTATTATTTTCTTTCCTTTTTGCAATTTACTGCTTTGGTGTTGGCCTGTCACGTGAAATCTTATGAAAATATATTAGCGTTTGAGGTTGTGAAATGGCGAGAAATGTAAAAACAAAAGTTGAAGGGGTATAAATACTCATTTCAAATGGTTTGGCATGTGCCCCCTTATCTCCAGAAGGCTAATTGGTAACTGTCTTGGTTTGCAGAGTGAAAGAAGGGAGCCCCCTGCACCACCAGTGGACTAACACTGAGTCAGACCACCACAGGCTACAACTGTGAGCAGGACAACAGCATCTTCCTGTCGGCCTTAAATCACAAATCTTCTTTTCATTACCTGGTTACAGTTTTTGTTCTGTGACCAATGTTACTAAAACTGGCCTGACACTGAATCAGTAAACTGTTGACGTGATCATGTTCTATAGAGGCTAAAAATAATTTTTTGCACACATATATTAGAAAAATATAAACAGTATAATTTGTTTCTTTGGCTTTTCTCTTTTTTATATATATATATTATATGTCCTTTTTTGTTATGATTGAAATCTACATTAACCATTGCATTATGATTTATAATAATCAGCAGCCTGTCACTAGCTGTTAGTAATCCAGAAAACGGACCCTTTAAGGATATTCCAGCATAAGTACCACTTATGTTCTTTTACAACTCAGGATCCTAATTATCAGTACGTTGCTTATTCACAAAGTCTTAAATCAGGATGTGTGTTTGAGGTTGAAGTTGGTCCCAGGTCTCAGCCATGGTGTTAACACACCATTAGAGCTGGGACATTAACTCTGAATGAAGGAATGTGCTGCCTGATTAGGGTGGAGATCCTGGAAATTCCCCATTAGGTGGTTTTGATTACCGTTTCCAGTCTTGCTCAGTCAGGAGTAGTGCGGATTTTCTTGATTGCTCTAAGACATTCCTCTCAGTAGGTTTTAAAATTGTTACTTTAAGCTGTGCCAGTAAAGACATATCAGGAATTTGTCTTTATGCAATGAAAGACTTCCCTGAAGTAAATTGAATAGCTCAAATCTTAAATCGGGATTTTCTTTTTGGAGTGCTTTCTAAGTTGTGAATTAATCTTGTTTTTGTTTACAGCAAACCACTTTAGATCAGGTTCTTAAACTGTACCAACAAATCAGTCGGGGTATACTTCTTTTTCAGAAGTGTAATAATCCAAAGGCTGACTAAATATGTATAGTTAAGTGGTGCCAATGGAAATTTATCGTTCTGAAATTAATTTTAAGCACTTTTTACAAACTATTTTCCAATACAAAGCTATTTGATTAAATGAATGGTCTGCATGCTCAAATATTTACCATTTGAGTTATTGGGAACAATATTTAGTGAAGAAGTAGTCTATTTTTCTTGGATATTTTCTTTTCTGTTTTACATAACGACGCAATCAGCCCACAGCCACTAAACCAAGACATCCTGCTGCTTTTTTCTTAAGCTTTATCAGAGTTTGTGAACATCTTTCTTATCTGGGATTTGGGATTCTGAAACTCTTGCATTAGCTGTTGTTGGATTGAAGGGTGTTCAGCTGGAATGCCTTTGGACACGTGGCTACCTTATTTCAATACCAGCAGCAAATTTCTTTATTTGTTCTGTAGCTGTCAGGATGGCCAGGAAGAGCTTTATGAATCATATTGACATTAGGTTGTGATATACAGGAACGGATAGAAAATGGGTTACATCTCTGACTACTGTTTATCATATGACACCTCAAATGATAATGTTTAGTAAATAGAATTTTAAGGGCTTGAACTATGCACTTTTCTTACAATAAAAAAATCAATACTTAAATCTGAACTGCTTGTCTTGTTTTTTTTTTTTTTCTTTAAATAAGATCATACATTTCTATGTAATTCAGTTAAAGGCTGATATTTCCTTGTATGACTCATTTAAATGTGACAAGTTAGTATAAATGGAAAGAAATCTGTAAGGGAGCAAATATGTTTTCATATGGTAAAATGTACCATCAAGCCTAAAATTATTCATGAAGTACAATTCACTGGATTAAAAAGAGAGAAAAAAAAATCTGACTTTTTTTCAGTGTCCCTGATTCTCTTCTGTAATTTGATTGCTCCAATGCAAAAATATTTTTCAATTAATCACTCAAAAGTGTATGAATGTTTATAATAAAAATATGTCACTTTCTCCAAAAATATATCGTTTTATTTTTGTTTAGTTTAGTTTTCTCTCTCTCTCTCCAGAGATCCCAATCTCTGAATGTTAGGTAACAATGTTTTCAAAATTACCAGCAAACAGTCCTCTGTTCGAATCCTGACATGTTTTCTCCGGGTAGTCTGGCTTTCTCATGTAGTCTAAAAGCATATGTAACCTCGATAATCGTGATCGATCTATCAGTATAAATCAGTTCTGCGTTGTGTGAATAAGGGCCAGGAGACAGGATGAGATGAAACGTCGTTTATCTGTGCGAAACAGAATATGGACTGATCAGAAATCAGGTTCATCACAGCGGGTACAGCACCTTACGAGGAACAGCATTTCATGTTAGCAAAAAGCTAACATAACATTTTACTGGAGTGTTAAACTCAGTGAACCTACCTCGCGCCCATCTCTCATGAACTGGCAACGAGATGTCTGTGTTCACTATATTTAACCCTGCCAACCACCAGGAGGGGGTGCTGTTTCACCCTTTACACATGAACCCAAACTTGGAAGTAATGACAATTGGAATTCTATACAATATTAACTATGTTACATATATACGCCTGGATATTTTTTCACCCTTAATTGCCATATATTAATGTCAAAATGTTATTTAAAGTATCAAACACATTATAAGCTACGGCTCTAGTCGTACAGCTATAAGTTAATTTAAAAAGTTCAAATTAACTAGTTAATCTTTCGAGCATGCGCAGTGTTGACCTGTACCTCTCGTCTCCCTGGGTTACCGTCAACAACTCCGTTACCTCAAGCAGCAATGCTAGTTCGGCTTTACTTGGAGCTTTTTTATATAACTCTGTGTTATTTGTAACATCCTACGGTAATTTTCCATACAGAGTTACTTCATCGTCAAATGTTGAGTACTGCCGAACAGGAAGTAGCCTAGAGGCTAACTAGCACCAGCAAAAAACCGTTGATGATAGCATGCTAATGCGGATGAGAGCGTGTTGTTCCCCAGTTTGGTTTACATGATGACAGATCAGGAGGTAAGGACACTGGCGTATGCAAAAAGTCCGAAAACATCGAAAAGAACTACATTCCAGGTAAGAGCTTTAATGTATATTTGGGTTATAAACCAGTAAAGCATCAGCCCTGTAAACTCCTATTCCAACAACTCTGTTGTAGGATGAACTTCAGGCTGCTGTGTCTTCCAGGGCAAGCAAAGCAAATGCACAGCAACACTTTTATTTTGATGACATTAACGACGATGAAGATGGTAAGCATACACCTGTATGTGGGGGGAAAAAAACAGATCGGGACAGGCTGGATTTGCTAAAGTTTAAAAATCTCCAGCAATCACACCAGTGGAAACAATACATGTCTGTCACATAGAAAAATTCAAACGGGAAAATACCCAGTTTTACATTAGTTGAACTCTCTGAAGATAAACAATATATGAAGACATTTGCTTTATCTTCACCATCCACAGCAACATCTGTCAGAAATTGGTCTACCATGTTGTGTACCAATGGTAACTTAACTGAGCTTAATATGGCATTCAAAACACTTTTATGCTATTAGCACATTAAGACATAAGATTTTTTTAATTGTCATTATGTTCCTAGAATATAATACAATTGCAGTGCAACCCTCAGTGATAAATGAATATGACACAGCATATAAATATCTGTAAATATATTTCATGCAAACCTCACTCACACTCTAAGATCAGTTTTCAACATGGGTTTAAGTATCTTCTTATCGACATGTCTAACGACATGTCTAAAACTTTGTGAAATCATACTGTGGGAGCACATTCTTAACTTTTAATTGTGCTTTCTTTGAAAATAAATAAGCTGCTGAGTAGTATATGTAAGATAAAACGAATTAGTCCAATGACTGACTTTGCCTTTTACTTGCTGTTTTTCAGACTTTTTGGATAAACTTCTAAAATCAAGAAAAAAAAGGATTGATGCCTTCAAAGCAGGAAGGAGTAAAGCGACATTTAATACCTTTGAGTTTTCAGACGAAGAAGACAAACCCACCAAGCCAAAGAAAGTATCATTCCTGAAATCCCACAGAAGCAGCTCCAACTCAAAAGACACATCAGGGTCGGATCCACATGAGTCCTCTAATGATGGAAATGTCCATAATGACGGAAACGTCCAGAATGAAGCCTCTCTGTACCCTCAGAACTCCACAAATGTTAGTGCTGAAAACTCTCAAATTAATCCATCTAGTGAAAAACCGACAAATGGTCCGCTCACAAAACAGACCTCAAGTCTGTCATGTCAAATATCAGACGATGCTCTTTCTTTGCCGTTACCGTCTGACGGCACTGTGGTGGAGTCGCCTGGTCCAGAAGAAGATAAGACAAATCCTGGCGTGAAAGAAACCTCTGAGACGCCACCAGTGTCTGCACCTCATCTCTGCAACACTGTTTCAACTGGTTAGTTACTATTAGCTCTTTTATTCAAGGCTGTAAAAAGTTATCTTGATATTTACACTTTGTTTGACTATTCAGGCAGTGTTCCAGAGATGCCACCGAAACCCAAACCTCGGCAAAGGACGCTTGGCTTGAAGTCACTCCTTTCACAGAAGAAAAGGGACGAGGAAAGTGAATTTCAGGATTTCAGCAGACCCCAAACGTCTTCTATGTCCATTCCCTTCTCAACTGATGCATCCAGCAACATAACAGTAAGAACCAAAATTACATAATATAGATTTACCTCTTGTTTTTCCCACTTACTGCTCATTCACCTAATTCAAAAATATTTGTAGGATGATAATCGTTTGATAATTTTCTTCCATCAAGGGTTGAAAAAACAGAATTACATATTTGCAAAGTACATGTAAAACAGCCACTGTTGAACAACGTGCTTTTTTGTGATACGGAAGTAATTTCTAGGAAACGGCAGTTAATTCTTGTGTTGTTAATTGCAGTGGACAGATGGAGACCAGACAGCTTCATGTAGCCCCAGCAAGTCATTTTCAAATAAGAGTGAACAGTCACAACTCGTCACCAGGTCTACGTTTGATTCTGGCTCCAGAGGTAAGTACTGACACACTCTGCGGTGTCAAATCAGTGATACAACTCACTCTTCCAGCTGACTTTTGATTTACTGTTTTATAAGGCTTTCTATCCGACGACAGCAAGGAGCAAGGGAGACCCTATTCTTCATCATTTGAAGAATTTAATGTAAGTCAATCTGTGCTTTATCTAACATGGCTGTGATGGATTTTTTTTTTTATTTGTTACACATCTGTTTGATTTGATTGAATTTTCTTCTTAGGGACACGCAGGAGATCCCTCAGATCAAAGCTCTCATGCCCTTGAAAAGTCCTTTGACACCAAGTGAGTGAAGGAGGCTTTACTAGTGTTGCTGCATAAAGGAAACTGAAAAAGTAATTGACCATTGTTTCTTTTCTTTTTTTTTTTTTCTGGCGTTAGGACTTCCTGTTCTCACTCTAAAACCCCTGAGAGGTCTCAGAGTGCGTGCTCCAGAAAAGTGGAGTCAAAATATTTGGGAACACTCAAAGTTCTAGACCGGAAACTGTCCTTACAGGAGTCTTCTCCTCAAGCACCAGAATCTATCAGAGCTGCAGTTTACCAGGTCAGAGTGAGTCGCTGCAGCATATTAAGTCACCATGGAGTTTGGTGTGTTTTTTTTTTTTGTTTTGTCATGCGGTGAAGGTGAACTTCAAGTCAGAGGTTCCCCCGACACTGCAATGTGGTAAATCATTTTCAAAATGATTAGGTCAAAATGGACGGAGGGTTGGAAGGAGTGTTGGAAATACATATTTGATTGATTAAAGCCCTCTGTGCTCACAACAGGAATGGCTCAAAAAGAAAAAAGAAAAATCAAGAGAGAACATGCGGCTGAAGAAGAAAGAAGAGCTTATAAAGAAACAACAGAAAAAGGTGAATCTCGGTTTATTTCTACCATCTCTAAGGTAAATATGAACACGTAGTTATTATGAGTGGCCGTCTGTCTGTCTATGAACAGGACATGGAGTCTAAAAAGGAACATGCCAACGCCTCTTTTGAAGCCTGGAAAGAAAAGAAAGCAGAGAGCCTCAAAGCCGAAGCAAAAGAAAGACAAAATATGATTAGGAAACAGCAAAGGGAGAATAAAGAAAAGGAAGAAAGAAGACAATCTGCCATACAGGTGCAGATACAAATTATTTTGAAACTACAAGAGACATGAAAGTGTGTAAGCTTGATACTGATCAGTGTTTCGATCATAAAGGTGTTTGAGAACTGGAAGCGTGAGTATGATCAGCTGCTCATTGAGAGAAACAGAAAGCAGAAAGTGGCTGAAAGTAAACAGAAGCTGAAGAAGCAGGAAAAAGAAGAAGAAAGGCAGCGAGAAAGCAAATCTGCATTTTCCGACTGGTGGGTATAAATCACATTATGTCTATCTCTGTTTTTAAAATAATTTTACTGAAATGATTGCTGGAGGTGTATTGCCACTCCATCCCCAGCAGATTCAGTTCATCCTCACATCTGCTGAAAATATTTTTCTGTCCTGCCTCGCTCTCATCTATGCGGTTGTGAAAAATCACCAACCACAAGGTGGCGCACTCAGGCTAGATGTTCCTGTTTTAACCCCCTTCTAAAACAAACGCCTTCTGCAGTGAGGTCAGTGTTAACCCAGTCTGTTTTACGTGGTTTTCTTCACCTGAATAAGGTGTGACAAAAAGAAAGACCTTCTTCACGAAAAGCTCAAGAGGGAGCGTGAAGAAATCAAAACAAAGGCAGAAGAAGAGCTGTACCTGAAGGAAGAAAAAGACAAGACGGCCATAGAGACCTATGAAAACTGGCTGGTAAGTCCAACGATGAAGAAAATGTAACTGGGTCAGAGCTCAGAAATATCCACTATTGTTTGCTTTTCAAACAGATAAAAAAGGATCGAGAGCAGAGGAGAAGAAAAGACGAAAGAGTGATACAAGAAATACTTCGGGACAGTCCTCCACCGTGGAACCCTCCAAATAAAACCATCCCATTTAGAAAGTGACAACCTACAGGGCTGTTATCTTTAAGATTCAAGTTCTAATAAAAGACACTTGGATATGGGCATAAACATTTTATGACTTTTTCTTTGCATTAACTAAATCAAATAATTTGAATAGATTTGTTCTTTGTGTTACTTTTGACACATTCTACCACATTACAACATTTAGTACTAAAAACTGTCTTGTTTCTTTTGAGCTTTAAGTAACCATTCCTTGAAGAGCTCATCACTCCAGTTGAGACTTATGCAACAAGGCTGTAGTTTCAGACATGGTCATCCAAATACACAGCCGTCTCCACTGGTAAAGACATGTACCAGTCTTTACTAGATACATTAATTATCTTTTACTGCTGTGGTGAAATCCTTCCCAGGAACATTTTCTGTCATTCTATTATAGTGATTTATGGAGATTTATTTATCTCCCTCATTTGCCTTGTTTATTGCTTTCATCTTTTTAACTCTTTGGTACTCTGATTTGAGATAACCCTGCTGTAAGTTTCTCTACAACCTTTTCCCTGAAAATATTGGTGTGTGTGTGTGTTGCTGTCTCAGTAAACTATCATGAACACTTAAGGACAATTTAGAAACCAATTAGCCTCACTGGTTTGGGACTGTGGGAGGAAGCTGGAGTACCCTGGGGGAACAATCATACCCAGGACGTCTTGCTTCAAGGCAAGAGTGCTACAAAGTGCAGCATAAATTACGTACATGTACAGCCAGTTGGTTACTTTGGATTCTTATAAAGGCATGCTGGAATAAGGGGATGACCACTGACTACAAGGTACATGCTTGACTTTAAAGTTTGATTGTGGAAAAAAAGTCATGAATCCCTTTTTTCAACACAACAATTATGCTGTAGCACATGTTGGTAGTAGATAAAATAAAATATGAGTTAAACTACACTGTACTACACTGTAGTTGTAAGTTAACAAAGAGGGATGGGTGATATTTTGTCGAACTATTGTGATCCTGATAAAAGTGGTGACAAGAACTATTTATAGGTGTGACTGACTACAATCCTTGCTCCACAAATACTGCTCTTTAGGACACCAATCACATAAAACTGGGATTTGTATCACTCAGTAACTGCATTTAATCAAATTTTCAAATTTATTGACATTCATTAATACTTGCATTGAACAAACAGTGTAGAAAATAGTAAAAATGAAAATACAGACAGTGTTGGGGGATTTCAAACGTCATTAACTGGAATTTATAGTGACAATGATAAATCAAAGTTCTTAAAATAAATGTAGCACAATAAATTATAAACCATACGATACAATAAATGTCCACCCCTAGTAAAAAAAAACAAAAACAAGATGTGTCCATAAGGCTGTTATGTCCAAATAGGTGAGAAATGAGCCTCCTTCAATATAATTGTGAAATAATTTATATGCATTCTATCGGACTGTTATCATTTTGAAAATGTTCAATAAATACAATGGTTTCTTTAAATGTGAAAAATTCGTGCTTTTACTTTGAAAACCCCCCTCCGGAAGGCTTTTCCAGGAGCGCAGGGGAGTGGTGAGTGAGGAGGCTGAGGAACCTCCCTCCGCTCACTTCAACTTCAGGCTGTAGTTCAGAAAGTTACCACAGGAACTCCGCTCCACTCATATCTCCCGCATCCCGCTGCTTCAGTCCAGCTTTACGAACCTTTGTCGAATCAAACAGAACCGGAGAACCGGAACTCGCGGCTGTTTGGACCCGGAGACTCATCTGCCAGGGAACCGAGCTGAACCTCCGCAGTGCTGAAGTTAACAGATTACCGAGCTGGCAGAGGTAAGGATCTGTTAGCTGGGTTCCGCTAGCTAGCCCTATTGGTTAATTCATTCACGGCTGCTGGGGGGTTTAAATCGCACACCCTGCGTATTTAGAGAAGAAGTGAATTAGTTTATTCTTGTAATGTGCGACTGTCCTCTGCAGACTGTGAGCTTTTCACAGAAAGGCAGATGTCGAGATAAATCTCTAAGGTGTGTCGGATGAAAGGAGTCTCTTTTTCTCCTCCAGTGGCAGACGTGGCTTCGCTGTGATGATAAAAGCGTCTTTATTTCCTCCCAGGCTGTGATGGTCCGGCTGGTAACTCACTGCAGGGCTGCTCAACAACTTATTTTTCAGGGGGATTTAAAACTGACTCCATTAACAAACCTGGACTGTTTATTTGCACTTCATCTTTACTTTTCAGTTGTTTCTGTTTATTTAAAGATGCAGTTTCATGTGGCACATAGCAGGAAGAAATTATTTTTAAATTGATTCCGAAAAACAGGTTGCTCCTATTTAAAACATCCACCATTTGCAGGAAAATTGGAAACTATCCACTCTTAAATTTACTTACACTGTTATGACTAGTAGAGATGCACCAATCAGGCTTTTCCTGACTGTTTTACCAATTCCACTTTTTCGACAGTATACACCAAAAAGATTAAATGGGATTCAAGATATGTAACAGATCATTTTAAGTTTAAAAGAAAATGGAATGATCAGATTTTACAAATGAATGAATCACGGGATGTGTTAACTTTTTACGAGTTTTGTCTGTTTTTTTTCCTAGTAAATTCAACATGTACATCATACTACAAGCTTTTTTGTTGATGCATTTATTTATTAAAATGTGCTATTTTAGTTTTGATGCATTTAGCAACTAAGAAGACTAAAAATACATATATATATGTATATATATATATATTTTATTTTTTTTTTTATTTTTTTTTTTTCAGTGTTTAATCTGGCTATCACCAGAAAACATGAAGAGAAAATTAGTATCGCTCTATATTTGATCATTACTAGTTAAATTTTATAAAGATACCTCAAAACATGAAACATTTCCCAACAAACGCAAGATCTAAAATGAGAATTTATCCACATTGGCTTTGAAATATATGAAATACTACTAATTGAAGATGCTCCAATCAGGCTTTTCAGTTTGTGTTTTATCTATTAAAATGGTGGAAGTTCCCAGTTTTGATTAATTTAATGAATGGAAATTTGTTCTATGTCGAAGGACTATATAACATTAAAGGCAAAACATATTCAGCAGCTTTATTGATAGATGTTACGGTTTCTAATTTAACAGAAAATAAAATAAAAAACCCATTTGTTGGCAGTTATGAATCTAACCTCTTTATTTATTACTAATAATAATGGAGGGAAAATTGTTCTATTTCAATCTTCGACCAATTGATTAGTGGATCTCAGTTATCACAGTTTTTTTTCACGTGATACTGATTTACTGTATTCTGCTTCATTGTATAAAAGTGTTTAATCCCACATTTAAAGTGGTGTCTGGTTCCGGCTTGTCAGAAACCTCTCTGATGTTTACATTACTCTGCTGGTGTCTGTAATCACATTGGTTGTTCTTCTTTCCTGCAGAACAAAACATTTCTTTAAATAGTAACAGCTAAGACATACAGCCTTGATTTTTTCCGCTGTGAGGAAAGCATATATTTCTCATGCACTTTCCGTACGATTCCTTTGTGGGTGCGTCTTTGACAGATGTTTGAGATCAAACGGATCTGTTGCATCGGAGCCGGGTACGTAGGAGGCCCAACATGCAGCGTAATCGCTCAGATGTGCCCGGAGATCACGGTGACCGTCGTGGACGTCAACGAGACGCGCATTAAAGCCTGGAACTCAGACACTCTGCCCATTTACGAGGTAGGAGGATATCAGCGTTTTTCAGACGAGGATTAATTAAGTTTTATGGTTGAAGTTGGTCAGAAAGCAGCAGCTCACAGTTTATTAACACTTTCTCACCTTTGACATGCTTTGCACTAATGTGTGGCTGATACAGGGTTGACATGAAAGTTCAGCTTCACTTTTTTTCTTTTCTTTTTTCTTTATTCTTTGAAGCCACACCTCATCTCTGAAGAGGGTTGACTCAGAAAGATTTGGTCACTGCTGCAGTCCGTGTTTCTGTAAAATCTTGGCTCCGTCTCTTTGTGAGCCGTTAATTAGTTCCAGACTGTTTTGCAATTTCCCTGCGTCAAACCCGACCGCACACTATTACATCATCATGACTAGTAGTGGTCAGCATGAACTTCTCGTGTGTTTTGTGAAACACTTCCCCCCGCCCTTTGCACTTGCACTAACTGAACCCTCCGCTTCCTCTCGTTTCAGCCAGGACTGAAAGAAGTGGTTGAATCATGCAGAGGGAAAAACTTGTTCTTCTCCACAGACATTCCCTCAGCCATCAAGGATGCCGACCTCGTCTTCATCTCTGTGAGTCACGCAGTCTCGGCGCGAGTAAGATTTCCTTCTGTTTAATCGGCTTGCATCATAACTGCGTCGCCTCGGCAGGTCAACACCCCAACCAAAACCTATGGAATGGGGAAGGGTCGCGCCGCCGACCTCAAGTTCATCGAGTCGTGCGCTCGGCAGATCGTAGAGGTCTCCGACGGCTACAAGATCGTCACGGAGAAGAGCACCGTCCCCGTGCGAGCCGCCGAGAGCATCAGACGGATATTTGACGCCAACACCAAACCCAGCCTGAACCTGCAGGTGTGTACTTTCACACACAACTCTGTGGCGTCCGGGTTTCTTGCTTCTGAGGGTGAGCGGGTCGTTTTAGGTGCTGTCCAACCCGGAGTTCCTCGCGGAGGGAACGGCAGTGCGGGATCTCAAGGAGCCCGACCGCGTCCTGATCGGTGGCGATGAGACACCGGAGGGTCAGAGGGCGATCAAAGCGCTTTGTGCTGTGTACGAACACTGGGTGCCCAAATCCAGAATCATCACTACGAACACCTGGTCGTCTGAGCTCTCCAAACTGGTGAGTGGACCACATGGATACTGGTGGTTTATCCCAAAACCATTTACTCAGAAATTGTGTTTGATGCAGTTCATGTTTACTTTAATTACCACGAATGTAATCTCAATGCACTTTAGAACAGAAGCTGGTCTAATTCAGTTCAAACCAAACCAATTCCAGTCCTAAATCAGACTTTAGTACAGATGTGCTACAAATGCAAACCTATTTGTAGTGCACCAAAAAATACCTTCTCCTTATGATTTACAGTACATTAATGACTTTTTGTAATCAGAAAAGCTATAGTAATTTCCATCCATTCATTTTCTCTACACCCTTGTCCCTTAGTGGGGTCGGGAGGGGTCCTGGTGCCTATCTCCAGCTAGCGATCCGGGCGAGAGGCAGGGTACACCCTGGACGGGTCGCCAGTCTGTCGCAGGGCGCTATAGTAATTTCTTCAATGTTATTTTATTAAACCTTCAGTTTAAAATTCTGTTGTTAGCCTAAATCAACACTTCAATGTCAGAGGAGAAAAAAATTCTCATTTTATTGTGTGAAGCTCAGAAACCCCCCCCCAATTACTTAAGTCTGTTAGGAAAATACTGAATTGCGACATCATCGTTGAATATTGCGAGGTTAATATGAGTCGCACTAAACCTACTTTTCCCTCACGCTTCAGCATCTCTGAATCTAAGATCCACATCAGTGAAAATTCATTCATGAGGTCCAACATTTTATCGGCATGCGGAACGTGAATCCACGGCTCTTCAAATATTGAAAACACTCCGTTGAAATTGTGACCTTGCACACATACCGACATACCGACTAGAATTTGATGTACTGCGCCGCTCTATCAAAAGTCAAATAATTTTAATAAATGAAAAATAAAGGACATCCAAAGTTGCAATTCCAACTTTTATTTTATTTTATTTTTTTGTGATGAGAAGGAATAAAAATATTTTTGTTTTTATGTTTTTTGGCAGAATGTTGAAAGAAAAATCTGGTTGCGTTTTGGATTTGCAGGCAGCCAATGCTTTCCTGGCCCAGAGAATCAGCAGCATCAACAGCATCAGCGCTCTGTGTGAGGCCACAGGAGCCGACGTGGAGGAAGTGGCCAAGGCCATCGGGATGGACCAGAGGATTGGCAGCAAGTTCCTCAAAGCCAGCGTTGGTAAGAATCGCAGCAAAACCTTTAAAGGCGCAATATGCGTGTCTGTGAATCAGGACAATCCTAAATTACATTTACTGCTATTATCCCAAACAATAAACAGGGCAGCTTTAGAAGTTGGCGTTTTATTTTTTAACCCACAAGCTTTCGTTGATGCCCTGTTCAGGTTTCGGTGGGAGCTGCTTCCAGAAAGATGTGCTCAACCTGGTGTATCTGTGCGAGGCCCTCAATCTGCCAGAGGTGGCGTCCTACTGGCAGCAGGTGGGAACTGCACCTCTGTAAACGGAGGGTTTAGTTCTCTGGGTCTGTTTCGTCTTTATTATTCTGAACACGATTCCTCTCAGGTGATAGACATGAACGAGTACCAAAGACGACGGTTCGCGTGTCGGATCATCGACTGCCTCTTCAACACCGTCACCGGCAAAAAGATCGCTCTGCTGGGGTTCTCTTTCAAAAAAGACACAGGCGACACCAGGTCAGTCTCTCCTCGCCTTCTTGAGTTTATCGACTGGTTTGACTTGTTTTGCAAGTGCGAACTTGACCCAGGCACAGCAGAGAAAGCCTAAAGCTTTCATTCATTGCTATTAGCATAGCCAGTCAGTGCTGATCCTTTTCCTCCACTTGGAAGCTTGCCAAAGCTCACTGCAGCGAACTTCACCCCTCTAACCACTGTTGACGTGTGTGTGTGTGTTACAACTCCAGGGAGTCATCCAGCATCTACATATCAAAGTATCTGATGGATGAGGGGGCCAAGCTGTTTATCTATGACCCCAAGGTTCTTAAGCAGCAAATCATTTATGACCTGTCCCAGCCCAGCATCTCAGAGGACAACCCAGAAAGAGGTGAGAGAGCGAGCGAGAGAGAGAGAGAGCGAGCGAGTTCATTACTATGTTGGACCTGCAGCACTGTGTGATTTACTGTTAACGATTAATAAACACTCAACTCGAGTAGCCTTGTTTGAACTCGTGCTTTGAGATACTCGGAGCTTTTGCTTTGTTTAGTGAATTTTAAATCATGATCAATGTTTGGGAAAGGCCTTTTAAACTGACACACAGGTTGAATGAATATGAATGATTTCTCTAGAATCACCTTTCAGGTTAATTGTTGTTTCTGCTTCCCATTGAAAGCTTTATAAAACATCTGAAATGAATTGTGGTTTTAAACTTTTCTTTATGTGTTCAGGGTTCGTATGGGTGCTTGAAATCGCTTGAATTTCAAAAAAGGTGCTTTCAAGGTTTGGAAAGTGCTTGATTTCTGCATAAAGTCCTTGAAATTCAAAATAATGTTTTCTAACAAAGTTGTAATAAACTTTCAGGAGAAAACTCCTTATAGGAAGTGATTATTTATATTGTGTTTGAGAAAGTAGGTCGTTTGCCTTAAAACAGTTTGTTTCAATATTTATTATTCCTAATGAGGTATTGATCTGTTTGATTGAAATAAAGGTAGTTTTGATTTTAAATGTTAGTTATTGAAACTGGAGGATGTTTTTAGTTGAGTTTGTTTTGTTCTCTGACCAATCAGGTCTTTAGAGTGTGTGAGAAAATTTTCAAAACATCAAATTTTGTCATTTTAATCTATTTTGTCCCTACTATGTAGAATATTATTACAAAAAATTAACAGTAATAGGTGATGTTCATTTGTATAGTTTTTATTGTGAAAGTCTGGTGCTGAAAACTTACCTTTGAAATCCAAAAGTGCTTGAATTTATTGCGAATAAAGGTCATGTTATTTAAGAGATTTACAGTGAAAACTGAAACATTGTGGCTGGACTGTTTAATAATTATTTAACAAGGATAAATATCTGTTTTCTGAAGTTGTGATTTAGTCCGGTTAAGCATAATAAATCCCTCTCTTTTTCTTTTCTCAGTGTCTGAGCTGGTGACTGTAACGTCAGACCCTTATGAGGCCTGCCAGAGCGCTCATGCGTTGGTCATCTGCACCGAGTGGGACATGTTTAGGGTCACGATCATACTTACCCTTCGTACACATTTCTTCTTCCTTAGCAACCGTTCACTTGGGACCTCATGATGTCGTTTTGACGCCTCTACAGGAACTGGATTACGAGAAGATTTACAAGAAGATGCTGAAGCCGGCATTCATATTCGACGGCCGCAGAGTGCTTGACCACCTCCACGCCGAGCTGCAGAGCATCGGCTTTCAGGTGAGCGGACGTACAGCTACGTATTTTGTCATGTTATTTCATTGGATTCTACTTGGTGAGCCTTAAAAATGTTGAACTTATTTTTGAAGTAGATTGAAAACTGATCAGTGGTTTTAGTCCTTTTTTAAAAAAATAAAATAAAATTCATAAGTGTATGGTTTTTGCAATTTTCAGTCTTGGACTAGGCAATATGGCTGTGTCAATAATTATTGATTAGTTTTTGTTTTAAATATCTGAAACACTGCCGAACTTGCGATGCAACCTTTCTAGTTTTACCCAGTCTCCTTTGAGCTGTTGTGCTTATTTTGTCTTTTTGTGCTATTTTTTTTATTTATTTCTTTTAAGCAGTTACATAAAACTTGGGTTACTCAACAGGCTGTTGCCAGGTAACCAAAGAATGAGTCAGTTGATCCCACCCACCTTGCTTAGCTGGCTCTGAGAGGTTCAGCGGCTAAAGTCTTTCCTCTGCCTACATCCCCCAGAATGCTGTGCGGTTCCGGATCGGAGTTGGTTGAAATGATTGAATATTTTATCAGACGTATTCTGTATTGACATCGATTATGTGTCTATCACAATATTGGAGACGTACCCTAAAATACTTGCAGCTTGTGACTGGAGGTTATATATAATGCTAACTCAGGGGAGTTGATCACAAACAAATACAGATTTTTACTTAGAAACAAACTAGAAAGCTCTTTATTGGTTTCCTTTCACCTTTTCCAATAAGGTGCAATAGTTCTGCAGATAAACGGCTAACTTCGCCTCTCTGGTTGCAGATCGAGACCATTGGAAAGAAAGTGACTTCTGCTCGAATCCCTTACACCCCTGCGATTGTTGGTTCTCGCACCGCTTCTACTGAGCCTCCAACCAAGAAGGCAAAAGCCTAAAGCTGGATTCTCCCCCCAGCAGCAGGCAACTTTCCTCCTGCTTCCTTTTCATTTCAACAGCAGAGAGGCCCGAGTAGTGTCCTGCCCCCTGCTGGCCACACAGCAGGCCTGCAGCTTCTCTGCTACCTGGACGGACGACTGAAAGTGGCTACAGATCAAATATTTTTTTTATATTAAATCATTCCATATGCAACAACAACTTTACATCACACCCAGAACAGTATTTCTCTCACACACATCAGATGACCTGTTTTTTTATAGAAACACTATAAACACAAGTCCTTTCTTATATAATTTACTATATAATTAAGTACTGTTCTTAAATACAGTTTTATATAATTTTAAAAAAAAAACAAAAACTATTTTTTATAAATCATGTTGCTGTATGTTAATCTTCCGTGTCAGGATGTTCACCTGAAGGGCCAATGCAATAAAATGTGAGTCTGTAATTTGTACTGAAGATTTGTAATGTAAATCTTTACATACAGATATACTTTTCTTCAATAAATCTGTCTTTTTAAGCTTAAATCTCATGTGTGAGCTTCCTCAAAATAGACATGCAGACACAACATTTTAGACGTTTGTTTCACACATTACAATGAGGTTTATGGAGGCTAGAGAAGGTGATTGAAAAGTGCAGCTTCTGCTCCCAGATGGCCACGAGTCTCATCTGATTCCCTTTTATCATTTTAACAAAAGCCAGACCTTCAGGGCAGCTACAGGTGGAGACGGAAAACTAGCATCCTGACAAAAATAAACGCTTTTTGATGCAAGTCAGCTAAAGTTGAACGCCTCCCGGTCTCTGTTTTACTTGGTTCTAATGATTTTCCTGCTGAAAACAATGGATAGTTGTGATGCGTTACAGACTGTTAGTGCGATTAGTAGGAGGGAAAAAAAAAAAGCAAGAGCTGCTTCAAGAAGCTTCTTGTTCTGTTCTAGTGATTTCTGCTTTTCTCTTCTTCAGCAGATTCTTCAAGAAGAATTCACCTGTTAGGAGGGAAAATAGTCTTTAATTTTCTGCTTTATTACTTGAACTGTTCAGATATGGAGGCTCGTTTCCCCCAAACCTCCTCTGAGCTTCAAATGACTAAAGATTAGCCAAGGAGATTAACTCGGCTCCTAATCTTTGCTCTAAGGCAGGGGTCTGTAACCTGCAGCTCCAGAGCCACATGTGGCTCTTATGAAACCACACACTCTAAGAAGTATTGTGTAATTATAAAGGGAATAATAAGTGGTGGTTTTTACAGTTTTTCTGTAGGGGTTTTATGCAATAAAGGGGAGAGTATCTACATTAGGAACACACCAATGCAACAAGGCTTTTAAAATAGAATTTAATGTAATCATTTTTAGTTTGCTACCTATATTTTTTATATGTATGGAAGGGACTTACCCTGCTCTACGAAATAATTATTCCCTCTGTAAACATTTGATTTGTTTTGTTCTAAAATCTGAAATTAGAAATTAATTTTTAATTAAATTTTGTCTTTTCAAAATAAAAGTATTTCAGTCCACATTTGTAAGATACTTTGAAGCTCTAGACAAACTTTAGTTTTATAGCAATGAAGCAGAAGTGGCTCCTTTAAATCAAAAGGCTGATGTGGAGTGTTTGTTTTTCTACCGCTGCATATAATTTAGATGTGTCAGAGTAAAAGAAGCTAAATATAAATGATGGCAGGGTGCTGTGGTAGTGCAGGGTCAAAGCACGTATTGAGGCCTTGGTCCTCATGGTGGTGGTCGCAGGTTCGATTCCCGGCCTGGTGACATTTGCCGCACGTCTTCCCCCTCTCTCATTACCCTCTTTCCTGTTGAACTACTTTCAAATAAAGGCCACCAGAGCTAACAAAACCTTTAAAAATATGTATAAAAGATGGCCAATATTTTCTAAATGTCCTTTAACTTTCACGTTGAAACTACTTTGTGTGTTTCAAATCAAATCTCAATACAGTATGGTACACGTTAAAGTTTGGTACTATAGTGAGGCAAACTGTAAAAAAGTCCAAGTGGTTTGAACATTTTACAAGGCAAAGCGTATTGTATTATTAGTCGTAAAAACAACTGTTGATAAGCCGTTTTGTTGCGCAACTATCTCCATTTGTAGGGTTACTCCAGGTCAAATGAAGATACCCTGAATGCTGCTCATATTGCAGCTCTCTGGGAACGAAAAACAAGCTGGTCTGATCTAAGATCTCAGCCAAACTGAACCTCCAGACAATTAAATCTCAAATTACAGCACACACAAAGGAAAACATGCACACAAAAAAACAGACCTCACTTGTTCTTTAAAAAAAATGATATTACAAGCAGGCAGAGCCATGCAGAGAAATCTACCACTTCCAAATTTATTCTCAAATAAATCTAATCTGAACAGTTCTGCACTTAAGTTCATTTCCCTTCATATTTTTGCAGCATTAATAATTCAGCTCACCTGCTTTGTAGGAGGATCGAACCAGAGGCCCGCTGGCTGTGTACACAAATCCCATCTCGTTCCCGACTTTCTCCCAGTGGGCAAACTTTTCAGGGGGGATGTATTCCTCCACCTAAACCCGACCGCACGTCCTCATAAATGTGCATCCATCCGCAAACAATAAATCTGACCGGACTGCTTCTGCAGTGCGGAGGACTCACCTTTAGGTGGCGCTTTGTGGGCTGCATGTACTGACCGAGGGTTAGACAGTCCACTCCTGCCTCTCTCAGCTCTGCAACATCACCACAGCAGCAGTCAGACAAGTGCTTACACAGACCTGCGTGTGTTTATCTGCAGCTGCCACAGACCGGTCAGAGTGTTGACTATCTGCTGGTCGCTCTCGCCCAGTCCCAGCATGATGGAGGTCTTAGTGAGGACGCCGGGTTTGACCTGCTTGGCGTGTTTCAGGACAGTCAGGGATTGGTCGAAGTTCGCTCGGGGGTCCCGAACATACCTGCGGCGGATGGTGGAGAAATGTTTCAGGCTGAGGAATGCCTCTGGCGCCACCTGGTGGTCAGGCTGTGTTAGCTAGCAGAGATCTGAGTTTAACACAAGATGTTTCTGCAGTCTTCCATTTCACTGTAATCATATTTTCGACTCATACAAAAGGCAAAAGGACAGTAAGGCTGTCATATTGCATAAAACGAGCTTGATAATTTCCATTCTGATGGTAAAAATATTTTGAAGAGCAATTTTGTTCACAGAGACATTTTAGTCTGTTTTATTTTCATCATTGGTTTTTATTTCTGTTTAATTTATTGTTTTTGGTTGTTGTGTTTTATTTCGAATATTGATATTGAACTATTATGCCATTTATCAATATTACTTGAAAATGGTCTTAAACAACAATATGACCAGTTATCGCAATAATTAGAGGGCCAATTTATCATCCAGCAAAATTTGTTGTTCTGACATGCCTAACGGCCAGAATGGTTTATTGTAATGTTTCAGATTGGTATAGAAAAAAATATAAATTCATGTAGCTCATACTAAACCTCAACAAACTGTTTGATTATCCTCTAATCAGCTAATTCTTTTTGTGATAATACCCACAAGTTTAACATTATGAAATAGTAAATTACAGAGCTATCCAGTGTGCATACCGTTGCAGTTCCCGCACCGTCTCCACGTTGTGAGCGTAAACGTCTAGCCCTGACAGGGCGATCTTCTCCACCGCTGACAGGTCGCCACGGAAATCAGGGGTCAGGCATTCGACCAGGATGTGAGAGTTTCTGCACGAAAAAGACAAAAGTGCTTGCTTGTCAACTTTGCACTCATGAAATGTAATAAATTTAAAAAAGATCTAATGGCAGATCCATCTGATACAAATCTAAAGAAAAAAAAAATCTACCTCTCCTTCAGGCTAGTAACCGTTTTAGCAAAATGTTCTGCTCCTCCATCAGCGATATCTGTAAATAAACAGAGGAAATAAAACTGATTGATCATTAAAAAGCACATTGTAAGTATGTTTAGCAAATCTGTAGACATTTAAATTGTATTGTATATGGAATTTATGTATTTTCATGGTCTGTAGAAGTATAGGGAAAAAATATTATTAATTAAAGTCTAAAATTCTGTTCATCCATCAATCTCTGTTTTTTTTCCCAGGTTCTGTACTCAAAGCCCAATTACTGCAAAAAAATTCTGCTGTAACTTTCTAGAAACCTTTTACAAATATACTCTACAAACGAGCTTAAAAGAATTGAGAACAGAGGACGTTTAGATCAGAAAACGTAAGGACTTAATAGGTGTGATGACCAGTAAAGGTTCAACATCAGGTGTGGTGCAGACACACTGAGGGAAGAAACTGTACCATCTCTGTCAACAGATGTCAGAACCACGTAGTCCAGCCCCCAGGCTGCGATGGCCTTGGCTGTGTTGTAAGGCTCATCTGGGTCCAGAGGAGGCGGCTGACGGGCCGTCTTCACCGAGCAGAACCTGCACCCCCGGGTGCATGTGTCTCCCATCAGCTACCAGCAAACAGACAGAAAGAAAAGTAATGTGTGTGTCAGTGAAAAGAAAAAATAGACACCTAAACTGGACTAATAATAAATGGACTAATACATTCATGATAAGAAGTATCTTCAGGCATTAAAAAGAAAAGTCAACGTCCTTCATTATAACATGACGATGGAGGCTCACCATGATGGTGGCAGTAGCGGTGGCATATTCTCCTCCACCCCAACATTCTCCAATGTTTGGACACCTGGCCTCCTCACACACCTGAGAAAACACACAGAGACACTGTTATAAAAGAAGAGCGCACATAGGATTATTTAAACCTGTCTTTGCTGTGTAAATCTAATAGTTTCAGTAAAAGGTGGAATAACAGTTTCCTATCTTGGCAGAATTTGCACTGTGACGTTAATCAGATGCATCCTTGTGAAGACATTTTCAACAAGTTTCCCTGCTACGTTTCATGCTTTGGTTTTATTCTAGAGTCGAAGCATGTGGGTAGTCTGCTGCTGACCGTGTGCAGGTTGAGGTCTCTCAGTGTGTTCTTCAGCCTGTTGTAGTTCTTTCCAATAGGGATCTCCGTCTTCAGCCATGGAGGAAGCCTCAGCCTAACAACAGCACAGCACAGATATAAAGATCCTTTCACATGCATGTGTCTGATAAACTTTAATTTGTGAAAATGATCAATTTCATGCATATCTATTTAAGTAATTAAACTGTCTCCTTTAAAGTTAGATGTTGATGAAGTATGATGAACATACGTTCTCTGTAAATTACAAAAGTATTCGCCATCTTTCCACATTTTGCCAAGTTGCACCTGCAACAAATTTTAACTAAAGAGAAAAGTTTTATTTTGACAACAAAATAATTTTTAAAAAAGGATACGTGCTTTAAATACTTTTAAAGTGTTAGATTGTGATATATATTTATATCGACCTCCTCTGCTCTGATCTGTTTGAATAAAATCCAGTTCAAACCACTACATTTACAAGTCTTTTATTGAAAAGCAGTATGTCATTTTCCTTCCGCTTTTCATTAATGAGTCAGATGCTTTTGTCTATCGCATAAAATCTCAATAAAATACCAGTATGTTGTTGTAACACCACCGAATGTGGAAAAAGTTCAAGGTGGTTTTGAGACACTGTACCTCTCCCCCTTCTGTCTCTTCAGGTTGCCTCTGTATTCTGCCCACTTGCTTTTCTCAGAGAGTTCCCCAGATATGAAGTCCTGCAGCCCGGGGCCGTCCTGGCTCTGAACCTCCTTCTTCCTGTCCTCCCTGTCTGCAGAGGACTTGGGTGAAGTGTTCAGACAGCTTGTGTACACCTGTAGCCAGAAGTCACTCCGGTCAGCTCTCAATTAGTCAAACATAAATTATTCTCCAGATGAGAAGTTTAAGGAACAGCAGACAGAGTCTGTTTTGATAAATAAGCTGTCAGCAGAGCAGCGGAGTTACAAAATAAAGACTGCTAGCTAATGTTAGCTCCAGACCCACTGACCCCAATTCTGTCTTAGCGGACAGAAAGCAGTTTAAATAATTTTTACATATTCAGGTTTCCTCAGACACTTACATGTAAGATCGATCTGGGGCTCAACCTTAAGTGGTTTGTGGAAAAGCGACCCGTCACACAGCAACTCTGTTTTAACAACGCCATGACAGCAAAATCCCGAGAAACGATACAACCTCGACAAGCAGCTGCTTCTGTCTGACGCTGCATTCATGAAATGAAAGCTGACTGGGAAATATCAGATATCTCTGGTTTCAAAGTTTTTCCTCAAAACAGTACCATACATTATAAAAGGTTATGTACTTAATAATGAAATTTAAGTGATTTTGCTTGCTATACCAGTACGTATTTAGTTTTAGTACGTCTGAGTCCCAGTTTACAGCTCAAGTATTGTGTATAATCTTACTCAATTTAAGTTTTCTTATATTTTTCCAAATTTAAAATCTGTTACAATTTTCTTTGCTAATTTTTAAAATATAAGTAATCCAAATAAAACACTGCTATTGTGAAAATGTAACTTTGGTTTAATCTGCATTTAGGTAAATAGGGCTTTCATTATTTTAAAGTTTGTAAATAAAGCCAGTAGATTTTCATAAAAGACACTCGCTAATGTATATTCCAAAAAATACTCTGTTGTTTCTACTCCATTCCAAAATATACTTTTCTGTCACATTTTGAGTGACGCCAAATTATAGAGTTCGATAATCAATTATAACGGCTGCTGATGGGCTCCTACAATTGCGTCATGACGCCCTTCCGTCCTCCTTTCCTCTGCTACCGGCGAGGTGAGAATAGCTGTGATATTGTTTCGGAGTTTTCATCTAACTTCATCTGAGTCTATTAACACACGTTTCTATTTATTTTTTAACATCAAGACACCGAAGACGTCAAATTTCACAATATGAACTATATTTTTATTCAGTTTTTAGTTTATGTGGAGAAATGATAATAAGTTTGTCCACAGCTTAAGCGTCTGCGGCCTGACGGGTCTGTTTTTGTTAATGGCGACGGCTGATTAAACTTTCAGTTACAACAGTGGGGTTTGAACAACTCCTGGTAGTTTGTGTGACTGTTCTGGAGTGGAAAATTTCGTCTTTATTTTAATTAAAACTATGGGATGTGGAATAGTGTAGCTCTGTGTTAGCATTAGCTCAGTCAGTGTGACTACATCTAGGCTGGCTTGATTCAAGCTCAAATCACACATGCTAATGTTGCATCTATCAGAACATTTACATTAGCTATCCAACCTATTGAGTGTTGAGTTAAAGTGTTGAAACAAGACTCAAATATAACACTTGTTTTGTGCGTGTGTGTAGAATGAAGACCATTCTCAGCAGCCAGACCGTCGACCTCCCTGACAATGGTAAGAAGCTGCAGCTGCACAGATTAACACGAATAAATATGTTGTAATGCTTTTAAACTGACTTTTGTGTTGTTTGCCAGTGGAGGTCAGGTTAAAGGGGCGAACAGTGATTGTCAAAGGGCCCCGTGGTAAACTCACCCGGGAGTTCAACCACATCAACCTGGAGCTCAGCCTGCTGGGCAAGAAACAGAAGAAGGTAGCTATGAATGACAATCTGTTACTGAAAGTGTGCTGCATGAGTATATACAAAGAAAGTTTAACCATTAGCAATGGAGCTGGTGCTGGGGTGCATCCCTGCTTCAATACAGGATAAAAAGAGCACGATGTCAATTTGACATTTTTGTTTGGTTGTACCCCTTTATTGTCAAGTTATCAACCATCTGAGCGATTTTAGCCATAATTTGACATGTGAGGCTGTATAAAACGGATCCCTGTGTTGTGTTGTTTAGCTTCGTGTGGAGAAATGGTGGGGAAACAGGAAGGAGCTGGCCACGGTGCGCACCATCTGCAGCCACGTCCAGAACATGATCAAGGGCGTCACTCTGGTGAGGTTCACCTTCTGGGACAAAACTGCAGCCACTTGGGCTGCCTCTGTTCTCAATTAACAACGTGAATCTGTTTGTTTTTGATTGTTGACGTTACTCCTGTTGTCTGCTGCAGGGTTTCCGGTATAAGATGCGCTCTGTGTACGCCCATTTCCCCATCAACGTGGTCATTCAGGAGAGTGGGAGTCTTGTGGAAATCAGGAACTTTCTGGGAGAGAAGTACATCCGCCGTGTCAGGATGAGGCCTGGTGAGTCGGCTTCACACTGTGGAGACTCTGGAGTGCGTGAAAATCTGATGTATTCACTTCCTGTCAGCTTGGAAAAGTCGCGCTTTGACTTAGTGGGAAGGATGAAAATGGTGGTTGGCCAGATTTTTTTGAAAGGCAGGAATGTTTAAAGGCAAAATGATCACATTCAGTGGGTTAAATAGAATAGTAGTAAATATAAACTTACAAAACCGTGTTGGGCAGATTTGGTTGTTTTTCTCTCTCTTTTTTTTTTTTGAAGATATTCCAACATGAATTGTTATTTTACCTAGAGCTGGGCAATAAATTGACTGATTTTTATCAGACTTTCTGTTTTTGAAGCTTTAATTTGGAAAATTTGGATTTTTTTCCCTCTACAAATCCACCACTTGGGTTTCCATAGTGATGTTAGCTCACCCACAATCTACCAAGCATATTTTAAAGCTTCCATTTGTTTTGTTATTGAAATAAATGCCAAATCTTAGGTATTTGATGTCTTTTTTTAGTTGTTTAGGAAAAATACGTTTAGCATAAAAAACTGAGATTTTATTCTTAATCCATATCGCCTGGCCCTATATTACCAAACGTTTTGGTAATATTAACCAAACATTTAATCTTTTATTTGCAGAAAATGCTAAAGATTGTTTGAACTTTCCTGTTAATCTCAGATCAGCAAATTGTTAAATCTTTACAGCACTAAGGCTCCTGTACTTTCATAAGTTGGTTGCCTTTAATTTATAATTTTTATAAAATACAGGAATGTATTAATGTAGCAAAGGGACAGTAAATAATTTATAAATGTCCACAAATATTTAGCTTTCTTTGTTTAAATCTACATGAAGTGATTAAAACTCAAAGAAGCTCTTTGAAGTCTTAGCGCTCTCTACATTGTGATTATTTGTTTTTATTGCATCATTAAAATGTTGTCTAAAACAGTCATTCTGATAGAATAACTGTATATAAATATTAATGGAAGTCATAAATGTTTTGATATTTGTTTTTTGAACCATAATATCCACAGAGCCAATTGTTTGATCAAAACTAATATGAAATGAGAGAAAATATTATTGCTTCAGAACTGATTTTCTCACCTACAAATAAACTTTTGAGTTTTTATTGGATTATAATCAAGTAAAAAAAAAAAAAATCAGGTCTCATGGTATCATATTAAAAATGATCTTCCCTTTTGCTTCCAGGAGTTAACTGCGCGCTGTCAGCAGCCCAGAAGGACGAGCTGGTCCTGGAGGGAAACGACATCGAGTTGGTGTCAAACTCAGGTGAGTCTCATTAACGTTATCAGAGCCGTTCTGTCCATTCTGTTGACGGTTGTAATGCGTCGGGTCGCTCTCTCCTGCCACCTAACGGTCGGATGAAGTTGAGCTCGTTTGTGTAAAGTTGCTGGTTTAGTTTCTTTTTGCAGATGTTCAAAATGCATCAGAAACGTTTGGGCAGAAGTGATGGTGTTGTGACTTGCTGCTCGTCCTCCTCTGTTCCAGCTGCTCTGATCCAGCAGGCCACCACAGTCAAAAACAAGGATATCAGAAAGTTCTTGGACGGCATTTACGTGTCTGAGAAGGGAACAGTAGTGGAAGCAGACCAGTAGAGAAAACATCTGCTGGTGTAGAGGTTAGATGATGCCGTCTGCCTGCCCTGCATGGGAACGTCTCACTTTTTCTGCCCATCTTGTTTGTTTTCCTGGAACTTTTCTTTCTGTCGCAGATTTATCTGTTGCATGCTTCCCACCTTAAACTTGTCAAGCGTCAGTAATCATAAAATCAAGGAGTCTATTCATTCTCCTGATATGTGATATGTCGGCAAAACTCAGCATTAAACTCCAGGTGAACTTAGGGCTGAGTTTTTTGGTTTTTTTTCATAAAGTAAAAATTTTAACAAAATGCTCCTGAAACAAAAGCATTTAATGGATAAATTTGGCACTATTTAAATTCTAAGCTTGCACTTAAGAGATCTTTATTTTTCAATTTTAAAACCACTTTTCTCTTTTCAAACTATTTAACAGGATGTTTACCTGTATTTACACCTTCTTTATTACTCACATGCGCATGCTTTGCATCATTTTATGCTTGACTTTAAATCTTCCCAGCTTTGTGCGTCACTTTTCCTTTTCATGATTAAATCTTTGCTTTCATTCTTCAGACCAGGCCCTGAGAAATAAGCATGCACTGGTATTTTCCCCCCATCATGTTTCAGAGTAAGTTTCTGCTCTGATTTGCGGCTCTCCTGTTTCTCTGCAGCGGCGTTGATCCAGCAGGCCACCACGGTCAGAAAGAAGGACATCAGGAAGTTCCTGGACGGCATTTACGTCAGCGAAAAAACCACCGTGGTGGAGCAAGATGTTGAATAAAATATTCACTTTTCCTGTCATGACCAATAAAGCAAACATCTTTATATATTTGTTTTCTGTTTTTTTTTTTGTTTTTTTTTATTCGGCTACAATAAGGGATAAACATGAATAAAAGGGTGCAGAGTCAATAAATGTTCTATTTATAATACATGTTGACTCTAATGTGAATTGCAGATCTGTTTTTACAATGATAAATTTTATAAAAGTAGAAACATGAAACATATTTTTTAAAAATCAAGTTTTTGTGGCCTAATGGAGCTTTCCAGGCTTTCTATAAAAATAAATATATACTTGGACACAACTACTGCTAGAGGTGCAATGAAGGTGAAATGCTGTTAAGTGGATCAAGTAATGGTAATTAAAATTTTCTAAATCTAAGAGCTGATCTAGTAAATCAACAGATGCAGTTCAGCATCTATTTGTAGCCCAATGTTTCAAATATGTTAATATAGTACATATTTGAGGGCAGGCTAATATTTGGCTTTCGATCTGTTTTGAACCTGATGGTTTTACTGACACCGATCAACTTCCTCAGATTTTAAGCCCCGCATATGCTGCCATGGTCAATTCAAAAAATATTTTATTGATATTAAAGGGAGATTAAATGTTGAAATGTTATTCAAGATTCTTCATGTAAAGAACCGGTCAGAAACACATGGAAGAATTTTGATCAGTACGGATATTAAAAATCTTACGGTACAAAGAATGAATAAATTACAAAAGTTTTTAGAAAAGGTGGCAAATAGCAATCGATGCGATATCAATATCTGTGATTTAAATTTGAACCATAGCGGGTTTATTATTATTATTATTATTATTATTATTATTATTGCACGTTTTGATTTGTTTTTGAATTCCTAAATAAACTCGGCACGTCTGATGACGTACTGACGCACGCCAATCCTGTATCGGTGCGTCACCTCCTGGCGACCACAGTGCTTCGCGCCAACAGCTGAAACATTTTCTGTCTTTTCTGCACCAAACCAGCGCCCAGGGTGCGAGAGCAGCGTGTTCATCATGGTAGGTAACAGTTAAAGTCTGTCCGCTCAGGCCTGGAGCGGCACAAACTCCCGAAGTTCCTCAACAAGGCGAAAAATACCTGCGAAGTCATGTGGATAAAGCTGCTCTCGGGTTTAGCTGCAGCTAAACCGCTTCAGTTTATTTTACACTAAAAATAAGCATAAAGCTGTTTAAATGTTGACATGTTTGTGCTTTTTTTTTATTTGTTTGTTTGTTTTGTTTAGGAAAAATGATGCGTTTACGTGCAGGATCTTAGTCAGAAAGTGAAAGCTACTGAAATTGAGCGCCTGAACTCGCCAATTAATCCTCCAGCCTCTTTTCACTGTAGTCTCTGCATCAGTCTTGTTTACAATCACAGCGATCTAGTGAAGATATAAAAGTTTACAACTCCGCTGTGTTTCAATCTGCATCACTAAATACTGTGTTTGTGTGCAGGACATCAGGCGGTTCTTTGGACCGGTATCAGGCAAGCCTGCCCCAAATGTAGACCGAAAACCAGACGAGAAGAAGAAAAAGAAGAGTTCCTCAGAAGAAGATTTGAAAAAGAGGAAGAAGGAAGGCACGAAGGCAAGAAGATATTGTCCTCCACCATGTAAAAAGAAAGAAAATCCAGTTTTTCCCACTTCATTACACAATATTTGTATTCTTGTTATTCAGGTCAAAAGCTCCAAAAATGAAGAGGAACACAAAAGCAGCGAGAAGAAAAGAAAGAAACGCCAAGTTATAGAATCGGGTATGCGAAATATTTTAATATTTTATATCATAAATGAACATATAGACTAATAGTCTAGAGATGCACCAATTAAACTATTTCCTGCCGGTACCAATTTCAGGTTTTTCTTTACTTCTGACCAGATTTTGACCAATTCCACTTGTAACTCTTCAAAGAAATAAAATTAGGTAAAGGTTCTTTGGTAGAAGTAGTAGGTTTGAATCACCAGAACTGCACAAAAACATGAAATTGCAGATGTTGATGCTTACTTTCCTCACTGTTTTTTCTTTTTGCCCCCCATGAGCGTTAGCATGTTTATGTTTAAACTCTACATCACCTCTGGTTGTAAAATCCAGCAAAAAGTACATCCAAATAGCAAAATGTATAATTGGCTATTTGGATGTCAATTAAATCAAAGTCTGCATCCAAAAATATTTTTTGCTATTTCAATATTAAACATGCTAAAGCTGCAATAATTCTGATTTGATTTATTGTCAGGCTCTGGTTGGAAACCAGCAAAAATAGGAATTAATCAAATAAGTCCCCAACCTTTATCGTTATTATAAATACATGAAAGAAAATGTTTGTTGGTTTATGTACATCTTTATAACTCTTTGTAAAGCAGTGACTTCTTCCTGGTATTCCATTTCTGCCTGTATACTGTAATTATTACACTTTACAGTTTGTGCTATAGAGTAACACATTTTTTCATATTTAGATCTTTGTCAGAAAAATATTAATCTTAATCCTTGTTTATCTTCAGTGAGAAAATGGCAGAGAACATTTTGGAGATTTCTTCGTTACAGTTTTCATAGAGCTGGAGGGGATCACTTCTAGGAGTTGGATCATTAAGAGAGGGACATTTTCCAAAAATTAGATGAGAAATGAAAAACATGTCATCCTTGTTTCTGATCAGATTCGGACGAGGAAGAGCCGGTGATGAAGGCTAAGAAATCCTCCAAAGAGAAAGCTGCGACCAGCAAAGCAAAGCCGCCTCCTAAGAAGGATCCTGTGCAGTACGTCTCTGAAACAGGTCAGACGCCATCAAAGGAAAATATTCTCAGTTCCTCCTAATGTATCTGGCCTTTAAAGAAAATCTCTGCTTGTCTCTCGAACTTGCAGACTCGGACAGTGACAATTTCCAGAGTCTGAAGAAGGCCTCCAAGTCCAAACAGAACGGCGCTAATAAAACGTCAGAAGAAGACAGCTGCAGTCCTAAAGCCAAAGAGCGAGTCAAGTCTCCTGCTAAGCCTCCTTTGAGTCGGGGGAAAACTGAGAGAAAGAGTCCCAAAGTTCCTACAACCCCTAAACTAGCCCCTCCCCCTCAGCCTAAGCAAACTCCCACCTCTGTACTCGACTACTTCGGCAGCGGAGAGATTAACCGCTCAGACAAGAAGCTGGTGGCCAGCACCAAGCGAAAGGCTGTAAGCTAACTTTCCTGTCCTCCAATCCTCCATGACGTCTTTTCTCTAATCACTTTCTTACTCTGCAGGAAACTAAATTTGTAAAACTCTTGTCTTCCTTCAGCCGACTCAAGAGTTAGACGACCTGATAAGCGACGAGGAATTGGCCCGACAGCTGCAGATGGAGGAGGACATGGAGGTATGAGGTTAAATCAACTACAGGGTGTTTTCACACCAAGCAGAAACTGAATTCTCTTGAATTCTCAGTTTGGAGATCATTGGAAAATGTTTTCATTCAGTGGAATAGTGTTGGAGGGGGGGGGGGGACTCATTCAGGATTTAAACAAGCCATTTTAACTTTTGTCATTTTATTGTCATCAGATGCAGCTTGTTGATGTCAGAAAAGCTGTTTCCTCTCCTGACATAGTTTTAATTAAAGAGCAGCTTTTTGCAGCTGCACATGTGGGTTACATGAACCAGAGTGTGCAGGTTCCTGTTTAGGATGCAACTTCTTTCAGCACCTCCCTAACCAGCTACGGGCCCATCTACCTCCATCAGTAGTTAGATGTAGGGATTTTTCTGGCAATAGAAATATATTTCAACAAATTTACAATTTCTAGCTTGATACGTTTTGTTGATCTGTAGCGATTTGCAAACCCTCTTAAGTTTTTTTCCCGCTTTACCTTCACTAAATTCAATGAATTTCATATTGAAGATCAAAACTCAGTAGTGCATAACTGATGCAGAATCGGTCCTCTTCAATCCTAAAAAATGTTCTTCAGGTGATGGAAGGCCGACTTTGTAATTGTCTTTATGTGATGATTTTGCTATTTTTCTTTCGAGCAGGTGGAAAAACAAGTCCATGAGGACGAGGAGTTTGCCAGAACATTGGCCATGCTGGACACCGAGCCACAGCCCAAAAAAGTAATGCACTGCAATGGTCACTAAAAGGCCTGTTGGCTTCTTGTAGAGGAGATGTAAATATGTTTTTGTGCCTTTTCAAGGCGCGCAAAAACTCTGAGGAAAAGCCAAGTCCAACCACGACCCCCAAGAAGAGCAGTGTGAGCGTCCCGTCGAAGACCAGTCGGACCCCTCCGGAGGACGTCATCAGTCCGTCGCCCAAGAAGAGCCCCGCTGCCGTCAGAGCCAGCTCCAAGCTGGCCCTGATGAAGAAACGGGACGAGGCGAAGGACGAAGGCGCGAAAAGCAAAGCACCCGCTTCACCGAGGAAAAACAAAACTTCTCCGAAGAAAGAGCCGCGTGCTTCTTCGATTTCGGACATGAAGTTCACACCCAAAGCAGGAACGACACCGACAGCGCTGAAGACGTCTCCCACGAAGCCCGAGGTAACGCTGCTTCCTGTGACGCAAGAGGCTGAACTCTGACTCGTTCATCTGAGCCGCTTTCAGGTTTTATTCTGCTTCCCAACCAGAGCACAAGTACAAGTCCTGACGATGCGGAGAAGAAGAAGATGCACACGCTAGCTTTCAGGAATTACCTCAACAGAGACGGACCGCGGGCGCTGGGATCCAAGGAAATCCCCGAGGTAAGGTTGAGCGTCCCGACGGGGAACCGGCGGCTCCTCAGTCGTTCTTTATTTCAAAACCAATTTACTCAGTTTAAAATCCTTTCTAGGGAGCAGAGAACTGCTTGGAGGGGTGTGTGTTTGTGCTGACCGGAGTCCTGGAGTCGATGGAGAGAGACGACGCCAAAGCTCTCATTGAGCGTCACGGAGGCAAAGTGACGGGAAACGTCAGCAAGAAGACCAACTACCTGGTGCAGGGCAGAGACAGCGGAGCGTCCAAACTGGACAAGGTGAGCCAGCCTGCGTCAGATTATCAGGGTTTATTTGGATTATTTTATTTAAATAACGATGAAACATAAAACAAACAAAAGGGTCACTACTGCTAAAC